GGCGACTCTAGCTTATTTTGTAGGGGTTTTGCTTGATTGAATTGTTGAATTTAAGAGTGCTCTCCCCTTTTTTTATTGCCTGGCAACTTCATGACCTACCGCAACAGGGCGTGCCTTAGCTCCAGCCCAGCCCAGCCAACCCACACACACACACACACACAAGCACACACAAGCACACGCAGGCACACGCAGGCACACTAACTTTTCCCACAGTTTTCAAAGCTAATTATAATAACTGATACATAGATAATAAAATGTAGTTTAGGCTTTAGGGCCATGTGGGCCAATTACGTAATGTGGTCAAAACTGAACCCATGGCGGCCCATTGTGCGGGTCGACCCGCTCGCACCGGGCGCCATTCAATGGACTGTTAACAGAACGCGCCATAAAAGCGCAAGCTGCTAACAATTTTGATGACCTGCAACTGGCTGAGTGTGGCTTATATATGCGGCGAGTAGATGCCCTTCCCTTTATTGGAGTACCAATTATCCATTAATTAGTAGCTTTAATCCATAACATTTGCAAGTTTATGGTTAACATAATTCAGAGCCGATATTTATCGATATCATGAAAAGCGTTGTTTAAAATTGCAAGTCATTTCGTTTTTCTGGTGTCGCAGTTGCGTCCTTCTGCCTGTCACATACCTGTGCACAAAAGCAATATACCCTTTAAGCCCATTTTCAATTGGCTAAGGGCATTAAAAGTGAATGTGAGGCCGTTGTGGCTGCGCTTTAACAACTAATAAATAATATATTAAAGTAAAATGAAATGTTACTTTTCCCTCTTATTCTCTACTTTTGTTGTCTGGTCTTTCTTTGCCCAAGCAATAAGTTGTAACAACTAGTAGATACCCTGTTCTGAGATGTTTTGCATTCTTGAATATCTGCGGTGTTTGTAGTTTATTCCTTGACAAATTTGCAGAGCATAAATATGGCGTCGAAAAGTGTTTACACACCAAAGCTCAGAAAAATACCTTAAAAATGGGTTTGTTTTTATTTTGTGGAGAACAGGGACGGTATCAAAAATATACTCTGTCAGTATATACTATATGAGAGCCTAGATAATAAATAAAAAAAATACCTATCGATATCGATATCAAGCTATCGATTGGAAATAAACTTGATTTGCGGCTCTCTTAAAGCCGACAAACTATGTACATATTTACACTTCATGATTTCTTCTGTCTGTTACATAAATGCACACATAATCAAGATACCCTCGTTTAACCGTTTTCAATGGCCGCACAGGGTACAGTTATTTAACACCTCTTTGTGACTGTGCGTGGCCAGGTGCACGGCACAGGTCACAGATGCCACGAACTGTCAGGCTGGCGATCAAAATAGATTTGTTATCAACGCATATTCACAATGGATTCGATCGTATCGCGTACAATATGATTATATATCTATTTTATGCAGCTATTGTTGGAGACGCTGTCACATCGAGTCCACGCAAATTATCTAATTTATTGTTTCGGCCACGCATAAATTGGGGAGGGCGTGGCGAGCGACTTGTTTTGCCTCAATCAACTTGTTGACATACAAAAATGTACATATAATATCTTTTCACATTTCTTTCTTTCTGTTTTTTTTTTTTCAATCTATATTATATTTGCTTTTTCTGAAAAACAGAAGAAAGATTAAAACTTTCAGCTCTGGTGTAAGTGGTGTAAGCGAACGCTGACGAAATCGAAACCAGGCGAGCCACTTAATATAATGTAATATAATATAATATAGTGGGTAAAACGTCCGCCTACCTATCTGAACTCGGGAACTATGAAAGCTAGAGTTACCAAATTTGGTGTGTACTTTCTTATATGCCTATGAAGCATGTATTAGGAATATATATAAGAATAAAACGATCCAGCCAATTCCTGTCTGTCTGAACTCGGGAACTATGGAAGCTAGAACTATGAAATTTCGTATGTAGTTGATTGTACACATGTGAAGCATGTATAAGGAATATACATAAGAATAAAACGATCCAGCCAAATCCTGCCTGTCTGAACTCGAGAACTATGAAAGCTAGAACTATGAAATTTCGTATGTGGCTTTTTGTGCTCCTATAACATACATATAAGCAATATTTGTATATATAAATGAAACCATTCAGGCAATTCCGCCTGCCTATCTGAACTCAGGAACTATAGAAAAAAGTGTTCATCAAATCATAATAAACTGTAATAGTTAATCAATAAAAAATTAATAAATAACTACATTTCATATTATTTATATTATATTATGTCAAACCCCAGGGTATTTGCTAGTTGAGCACGCCTGTTTTGCTAGTTTTATTGAAGTTTTTCGTTTCCAAATTAGCCGCACGCCTTGACGTAAATTGTTATTTAATTAAGCCAAAAAACAAAGCAAAAAAAAGAGAAAATGAAATTAAATACACGTAGTTAACAGAAGATTCTCGCATGAGTCGAAAACGTGGGCAAGGCCAACGTTAAGCCAAGACCCTGAAACTAGACTAGTTATGGGGCATATTTGTTCCCAAATAAATCTGAATAAGAGTTAACTAATTTTTAAAAGATTTGCTCATGAGATTTTCCAACACTGGTCGTTGAACTGCCGTCTCGCTGGGCCAAGACTCTGAAACTAGACTAGTTATGGGGCATATTTTTTCCAAAATAAATCTGAATAAGAGTTGACTAATTTTCAAAAGTTGTAAGTTTTTCCAACACTTGTCGTTGAACTACCGTCTCGCTGGGCCAAGACCCTGAAACTAGACTAGTTATAAGACATATTTTTTCCAAAATAAATTTGAAAAAAGTTACCCATTTTCAAAAGTTGTGAGGTTTTCCAACACTGGTCGTTGAACAACCGTCTCGCTGGGCCAAGACCCTGAAACTAGACTAGTTATGGGGCATATTTTTTCCAAAATAAATCTTAATGAGAGTTGACTAATTTTCAAAAGTTGTGAGCTTTTCCAACACTGGTCGTTGAACTTTGGCGTCTCGCTGGGCCAAGACTCTGAAACATGACTAGTTATGGGGCATATTTTTTCTAAAGTAAATCTGAATAAGAGTTGACTAATTTTCAAAAGTGGTGAGGTTTTTCAACACTGGTCGTTGAACTTTGGCGTCTCGCTGGGCCAAGACTCTGAAACATGACTAGTTATGGGGCATATTTTTTCTAAAGTAAATCTGAATAAGAGTTGACTAATTTTCAAAAGTGGTGAGGTTTTTCAACACTGGTCGTTGAACTTTGGCGTCTCGCTGGGCCATTTGGTGCCAACTTTCGCACTTTTGTGCTGCTCTCCAATTGTCGCCAACCACCTGACCACCTGACTACCTGACTACCTGACTTGCTGACCACACCAATGTCCGGCGAAGAGCGCGTCATGAAGTTGAAGAGCTTGTAAATTAAATGTGAGACAGCTGGCTGGCAAGTTCGTTGCCTAAGTCTTTCGTTTTCGGCCAAACGCCAAGCTGCCGCCCCTCCCCCTCCCCCTCTCCCTCTACGCGCCCAACTGAAACAAGCATCGGCAATTGTTCATCCTTTCACTTTCCGCGCCAATGTGGGTCAACGCTTGCCAGGATCAGCTGTGTCCAGCGTGAGCCCCAACAGCAGCTCTTTCGCATTGCATAAGCAAAAAAGAGATAAACATGATTTATAATTCCCAAACGAAGTGACATAATTTAACGGCCTGCGAAAACGCATCACTCACAAGATCATGGCCAAGATTATTGCGATGCGCGCCGAAGATGGCGACATGGCCATTAAAAGCCACAAACTCTGCGAAACACAAGCAGAAGTATCCGAATTAACTTGTTAGATTTGAAACTGTTTTTTAGCTAATTATAAATTTGTTGTTCTCTTAAACTAAGATTTCTTCCCACATTTCTCTAGGATTGTAAACGCATGTAAATGGCAAAAACTTGCAAATGTACTTGCAAGTACTCGCAATGAACGAATGAATAATTGACACTTAATACAATACACTTAATAATTTAGCTTAAAAGTGGATTTATTGAACGTTTGGCCACGCCTTCTAGGAATCAATTAATCAATCAATCGCTTTCAAATGGACTTAACTTTCAAGTGTACTTGCAAGTACTTGAATTGAATGAATGCATTCATTCAAGAATTGAGCTCATATTAATGTATTTAATAAAATTTGTACCATTTTCTATTGCTTAAAATAAGCCAGTTGAACTCTTGCAAGTGTTTTATGTATTTCAAGTGTATTTGCAAATGTATTTGTAAGTACTCGAATTAAATGAATGCATTCATTCACGAACTAAGCCTAGTAGATTTGATGAACGTTTCGTCTTGGCATTCATTAGGCCAGCTACATTATTGCTACATTCAAGCAACTGTTTTGGCAATTGAAAATGTCGTTAAATTGCAATTGTACTTGGAAGTACTCGAAATGAATGAATGAATATTTGAATGCATTAAAAAATTCAGCTTATATAGTGAATTTGATGAACATTCCGACATGGTCTTTTGCAATCATTGCCATAAAACAGATTTAATTTGCAAATGTACTTGCAAGTACTTGTAAGACATGAAACTATTCACTCAAAACTGAATCATTTGCTGAGTGTAAGTGGATTAGGGCACGGCCATGTCCGGCTGAATAATTAAACGCTTTAAGTATTCCCTTAACATATTCGAATGAGTTAGGTAAATCGTCTAATTGGCCATGCTGTGGGCGCACTTGCTCCACATCCAACGACTTCACACGCTTTCAAAATAAAAGCGAAATTCGTAACGAAACCAATCGAATTGGAAAGAAGAGAAGAAAAAAAAACACGCCGAGTCCAAGTTGCGGGCGATGAGCTGCGCATGTTAAAGACATCAATTGGCGACGTGTTAATCCAACCAATTGAAAGTTCAAGCCAAAAGTGAGAGGTCGGCGTGGCCGTGGGCGTGGCCGGATCTCTGTTTGCAATTTGCTTTATTGGATTGGAACGCTCAGAACGCTCCGATGCGAAAATCTTAAAAAACTAGCTGAGTATACAATATATATAGTATATATATGTGAAAAAAAAAATAAAATAATAGTTTAAAAATAACAACAATAATTTAGTGATAGCTGTGCGTGGGCGTGGCTGGTGCTCCGTAGCTGCTCACGGGCGGCAGGTATGTGGATTCTGGTTCAAAAATGGGCGTGGCCGAGTCACCAGACTGCCCGGGCGCACCATAAAGCAACGCCGGCGCCGCATAATCATAGCCCGTCGACTGTGCACTGGGCGTGGCAAAATCGAAGCCAACGCTCGACTCGTGCTTGGCGCCCAGAAAGGCGCTCGGCTTGAACGGCGACTTGGACAGCTCGGCGAAGAGCTCGTTGTGCTCGTCAGGCGCGCCACCATGATGGATGTCCGTGTTGAGGGCCAGCGGCTTGCTGGACGTATAGCTAAAGTGGCCGAGTCCCTTGTGGCCCAGCGCATAGGCGGGCGTCTGCTGATCCGTCTGCGTCTTGTGCTGCTGGTGCAGCTCCTCCTGGGCCACCTCGTGCTGGCCCGTGCTGTGCTCGTAGCCAGCCAGCAGAGGCACACCATAGCTGCTCAGCGGCTGCTGCTTGTAGTGTATGCTGGGCCCCCCCTCAAAGCTAAAGCCCGTGTGCTCCTGCTGCTCGAGGCCGTGTCCCAAGCCGGACGCATAGTGCTGTGCGCCCAGATTGAGGCCATGACCCAAGCCGTGACTGCTGCCCAGACTGGCATGCTGGCCAAGCGAGAAGCCTGCTCCCGATCCATGGCTACTGCTGCTGCTGCTGTAGGAGGGCGTGGCCAGCAAATAGGTGCTGCCGCCGCCGCCGCCAGCGCCGCCGCCGTGCTGCTTGTGTGCGCCGCCGAGCAGGCTCAAGTAGCCACCGCCATGTCCGGCGTATTTGTAGCCACCGCCGAAGCCATGACCCTGATGTCCATTTCCAGGTCCTGGGCCGTGTCCATGTCCGCTGCTGGTCTGCACAATATACGTCTCCACCTTCGGCGCCTGTTGCCGATGATGATAGCCACCACCAGCCGCACTCCCCCCACCCGCGCTGGACGAGCTGATGTAAACGGGTCGTCCGTGTCCATGGTGCGAGGCCAGCGACTGATATGTGTGCGGCTGGTGGCTATAATGATGATGATGATGATACTGCTGCTGCTGCTGCTGCTGGCTGTTGTCCGTGTCAAGGCTGGCAAAGTCGAAGCCGCTGCTGGAGGCCAAGCCATTGCCGTGCAGCGTCGCATAGGTGCTATCATAGCCCGCGGAGGCGGCGGGCGGCAGATATTTGTGTGAGGGTCCGTGATAGATGCCGCTGCCAAAGCTCAGGCCAGCGTCGCGCTTCGGCTTGGCGGGCGTCGCATTTGGCTGCACTTGTTTTTGCTGCTGCTGCGGCGGCTGCTTGGCGGCGGCGGCTAAGGCCAAGCATGCGCAGATCAAAAGCGCGCGCGAAAACTGCATTAAAAATTGAAATAACGTTTTGGGTTAATTGAATTTCGATGGCGCATTTAGAAATTTATCGCCAGTGTGCACAAAACTGTGGCATTCGCTATAAATTTATAAATACTTCTTTAAGGATTATAATGCGCGTTAGTATTTTTTTGGGTTTTAATTGTTATTTCACAACACTTACAGCGAACTGCATTTTGAAAGGTGCACGTCAAAAAATACCAACAATAAAAAAAACAGACCAACAACTTTTATCGATCAACTTGATGTTATTATCCTTTCGCTCTCACTCTCTCTCTTTCACTCTTTTACTCTCTCTTATGTTAACTTCTCTCGCGTTTATTCCACAAGTGCTGCGCGTCGAGTGTTGACGACCTCTGCGCCGGCCAACCCTTTTATACGCGGTCTCTGCAACAAACCGCTCGTCATTGCGCACGTCGACGCCGGCGTCGCAGCCAACTTGACGCAGCAGCGTCGGCGGCGATGCGAAAAGCGCCAACTCAACGCAGTTGGTATTTTTGTTGTTGTTGTTGTTGTTGCCATTTTGCATATGATCCAAAGCGATTTTTGGTTTTGTTTCACTTTGGCTTACCGCTTGCTGTCTTTTCTTACTCTCGCTCGCACTCGCACTCACACTCACACTCACATTCCCTTTCGCATTCACACTCTCACTCTTGTTTGGGCTGCTTGGGCGCACGCTCTGGAGACATTAATCTGGAACGCGTTGCCTTGGCACTGTGGAACAAGCATACGTGGTATTGTTGGATTAAGTTGGTGAGTGTATGAAGTTAGCTTTAATTTTTGTTTAAAAAGATCTTATGCAGCCAGTGTTGATTCTCAATTTAAAAACATATTTGTTAAAATTGTTGTTTTCGATTTATGTACATACATACATATATGTATTTAATAAAACAGTAAAACTAATCATATGTACTTTTGATATATTTTCCATATGTCTATGTCTATATCTTGCATGCACACATAACAACTTATATTTCAATACATTTGCCAGGGCTCTTGCACCACGGTGCATTGCGGCTGTTGCATTTACCGTTCGCCTCAAGTTCAAGTGACACTTTTGCCATATCGCATGTCTCAGTGCACAATTCTGCCCGCACCCCTCCCTCCGCCAGCCTTTGGGTTGGTGCGTGTCTGCTTTTATTATGTTGTTTTTAAGTATTTTTTTTTTAAGTTTCGGTTTTTTCCAAGCTTTCCCAGTCTTTTGCGGCAAGTTGATTTTGGCTTATGCGTAAATTGCAATTAATTCCAAGTAACATTTTGATGAATGTGAGTCCGGATGACGGGGCAAAACCCCGCAGCCCCCCCTTCCCACCCTCGCAACACGGTGCGAGCTCTCTTCCCTCCCCTTTCATATTCTGGGCAGCGAGTAACGGTAACCTGGCCAAAAGACAATCCATTCACGGAACCATGCAAATGTTTGTTGTTGTTGTTGTTGCCGTTTGACTGATGATGTTTTCATTTGTTGTTGTTGTTGTTGTTGTTGCTTGCGAATCGTTTTGTCAGCTGTCGCAAATTTGTAACAGATTTTGTTTGTCTTCAACTTTTTTCCACTCTTTGTTTTTTCTTCTTCTTCTTCTCGTTTATCTACAACTTAGTTAGGGGATTGGGTGTACCCGAGTCTTTCCCTTTTAATTAAACTCTTTGCCGCAATGCCGTAACAACATTTACCAAGGCCTCGTAATCCACTTGTCACATCGGCAAACGTTTCTCTCAACCGTCACTTTTCGAGATATCAAAATTTTGCTAATGACTCATCTAAGCCTTAGCCAATCAATCAATCATTCAATCACTCAATCAATCAATTGAGGTTTTGCATTTGCCACAAATCTAACTTTTAAAGACCGACTGGAAGATAACCTGCTTCCTTCTTGCTTCGTCTTCTCATCTCAGACTTAGCCAATCAATCAATCAATCAATTAATCATTCAATCACTCAATCAATCAATTGGAGTTCTGCGTTTGCCACAAATCGAACATTTAAAGACCGACTGGAAGATAACCTGCTTCCTTCTTGCTTCGTTTCTCATCTCAGACTTAGCCAATGAATCAATCAATCAATCAATCAATTAATCATTCAATCAATCAATTGGGGTTCTGTATTTGCCACAAATTTAACATTTATAGACCGACTAGAAGATAACCTGCTTCCTTCTTGCTGCTTCTTCTTTAAATCCCACTCCAGATATGGGAAATGCATTCTTGCTTAACTTGGAAGCTTTATATCCAATCCCTATGCAATTTTGAGAGCTTAAAAGCGGTATCCATGAGTATGTATATACCAAGATGTAAGGCTCTACCTTTGATACAGAGTTATTATATATCATCAAAGTTTAAGCCTATTATTATCTATTAAATCAGACGGAGAAACAGACGGACATGCTTAGATAGACTCAGCTCGCTCTGATCAAGAAAATATATATTCTGAGGGGTCGCATAGGCTTAACATACTCTCACAAGAAAATAGTATGCCCTGCTTATACCCTTCAGGCTATACAATAACCTAATGAACTCATAAGCATTAGTCATTGGTTTGCTTTTGGGACTCTTCCAAATGGGGCAGCTGCGCTGATTGAAAGCCCCACGAGATGTTCAGGTTTATTAATTTCATTAAATGAGCTCATTATCGGCTGACGTAAATTAGCGTGATGGTTATGTGTAATGATTAGCGGTCCAATAACTTATGAGCTACGGTACGGCACAGCAACCTGTCTACATCACCGAGGCGCTTGGTCCTACCATTCTGGGTTGATACTACATTCAATGTGAATAGTGCTCTCTCTCTATTTCGTGCTCTTAAAAAGCCAAATAAATAGAGCTCAGCCTTTATAGAGCAGTTACTGCCATTAACGTACTGCCACAAGGCTCTGCACATGATGGGATGGGCTTTAGCAGAGTGTCAAGAAAAGTTGAGTACTTAGTACTCTATAAGGCTGGATACCCTACAGTGATACTGTGCTGGGTACATTATTCGGTACGGCACAAGGTACTAACTACACTTGGGTAATAGTCTAGGTCGAGGTCCTCCGTGTACTAGCTCAAAAGTGTATTGGCAGGCAGATCAGTTATTGTGTGAGTTCATTTAATTTTATATATTAGAAAAAAAGGCATAGTACAGCATCTTTGGATATCCTGCGGGGGTGCTGTATTAGGTGCACCTCTCGGTACGGCACAAGGTACTAACTTGACTTGGGCACTACACAAGCTCAAGTTCGTCTCCGGACTAGGTTGGTATTGCATTGAAATGGTGTCTTCCAGGTAGATAGGTTATACTATGAGTTGATATACCCAAATTTACATTTATAGCATTTAAAAGGTAGAGTTGGCAGAGTAGCACCCTCTTGCCTACATTTGAGTTTATAACTATACTATAGGTTAGGTTATTTGGAGTCCCATCCAATTTTGAAGTTCGTTTTTAGAGTATTTGATGCCCTATCTTGTAATATCCTGGGGAGGTGCTGTATTAGGTGCATCTCTCGGTACGGCACAAGGTACTAACTTAATTTGGGCTCTACACTAGCTCGAGTTCGTCTGGAATGGTGTCTTACAGTTGGATAATTTATAATATGAGTTGGTTTACTCAAAAATACATCTATGGCATTCAAAAGGTAGAGTATGGCACCCTCATTCCGCTTAGTTAGCGCATCGTTTCGTCGTCTATTTATGCAATTACCACAATTGCTGCCTGCTGTGTCTCCCCGCCTTTTTCCAAGCGGACTGTGTGGCGTGTGGCGTCGATCGTTGACGTAATTGGCCGGGCCACTTGCGGTGCCATTGTCAATCTTCATATGGGAGCTCGTCTCGGCCCGAACCTGACGGCGATTGCGCAATGTGCTCAGCGCCCCGTTGCCAAGGTCATTCGCGGCAAAGCCAAGCCACCGGATAATTTCGCCAAATTTGCGGCATTAGTTGGAAAGTAAATGGCAGCCGCGGCCCGCCCCTGGGGTAAAAGTAAGCCACAACCATTCGAAAATTTGTGTACATCAAAAAAACTGTATTGACAACGTGGACTTAGCTTCTAACTAGTTGGTACAGATTGCCGGCTGACATGTAAAGATAATGCTGCTCCGCGTCAGACGGCGCGGGCAGAGCCTCAGCTGGGTGCTCCTCGATGGGCTTGCTGTGCGCCGTGACCCGGGGATAGCCGGGCGCATGGAAGAGCGGCTCCTGATGCTGCTCCTCCTCCTGCTCCTGCTCCTGCTGCTGCTGCTGCTCCTGCTCGTTGCTGTAGCCGGCAAAGGGCGAGGGTCTGAAGGGCAGCATAAACTGATGCCGCGCCGGCCGCACTAGACCCAACACCACGGGCCTTCTGGCAGCTGGCTGTGCCCGGCCCGCGGCGCCCGGAAAGGTCTGCGGGCCCGTATAGCCCAGGCTCAGGTGTTGTGCGCCCGGCGTCGGCGCCGGCGCCGGCAACAAGGGCCGCCAGGGCGTCGCATAAAACCAGCTGTGATAGCGAAAAGGCGGCGGCAACTGTTGCGCCTCGACGACCAGGAGCAGTGTCATCCAGATGTGGCCACGCATTTTGTGCGAGCTCGACGCGTCTCTGAGAGCCCAGGCGCCAGCCCAGCCCATTTTTATAGCCTGTGCAGCGGCTGTAATGCGATCCATGTGGTTCCAGTGTAACCGATATGGGAAGTGGAAAATGGATATGGAAATGGAAATGGAAATGCACTTGGCTATGGCTATGGCATCTGGCATCTGGCCAGAGGGTGAGCCGGGGGCGTGGCTGGGCTGGATTTATTTTTCCTTATTGCGATTACATAAAAACTGGACGGGCTTTTGGGCTAATTGAATTTCGGCTTTAATATAATTATCCCAAATGGTTTTCGGTTTGCGCAAAACGTGTCGCAAGCCAATCATTTTCAAGCCCAACGAAATTGTTTATCGTAATGATAATAGTTAAGATAATAATGCCGTTTGCTGCTCAACAATCCATGTAACTGTAAGCTGGGCGTTGGGTGGGCGCGCCCTTCGAAACGTGGCTATATACCCCGTGCGCGCAACCGGCAAAGGGTATATTGTGCATTTATAAGAGACAACGGGAGAGCCCATGGAACATATCGATTCCTTTTCAGCAGAGTCTGGCCGAATCTAAATCCCTTACGCTCCATCTGCAATAAGTCCATGCTTTTTTGCACATTCAATTAATATCATTTCAAATCGATAACTATCGATGTTTACTCATCTAATTTAAAATCGACAATTATTTATTTACTACGACTTATCTAAAAATCGATAACTTACGATTTTTACTTAACTAATTTGAAATCGATTTTTACTCATCCAATTTGAAATCGATAACTATCGATTTTTACTCATCTAATTTCAAATCGATAACAATTGACTTTGACATGGCCAATTCAATGTCAATCACTATCGAGTTTTACATAGCTCATTTAAGATCGATAATTATCTATTTGTAGATAGCCTTTTTAAGATCGATAACAATCAGTGTTCACATACTTCAAATAAAATCAATGTCCAATTTGAAATCGATAACTATCGATTGTTATCTAGCATATTTAGGATCGATAACTATCGATACCATAAATGATTGATTTAACATATCTTATTCAAAAGCGACAAACATCAGTGTTTACATATTTCATTTTAGATCGATAACTATTTTACAACATCTATATAAAATCGATAAATATCGATAACAACCGAATAAATCGAGCTTTCTTAACAAATTAAAAATCGTTAATTATACATTTCTACATGTCCAATTTAAAATCGATAACTATCAGGGTCTACATATTCAATTCAAAATCGATAACTATCGATTTTATATATCTAATTTAAAATCGATAACTATCAATTTATGCATATTCAATTAAAGGTCGATAACCATAAACTTTCACGTATCCAGTTCCAAATCGATAACCCTTTTACATATCCAATTTAAAATCGAAAAGTATCGATATCAAATATACAATATGAGACCGATAACTAACAAATTTGTGCAGCTTGTTTGTTGTGACTATTTCGAAAGTTATAAAATGGGAAGGGAAAGGAAATAATAAGGTGTCCGCTCAGTCGGTCTCTCTCTCGATTAGCTGCCGATATTGGCATGACATAAGATCTATAAAGGCATCGAGCAAATCTCCGACAGGCTCCTCAGTGTACCACATTTTTATTGCGATAAACATAACGCATAATGCGGCTGACTATAACAATTTGATTGGGTCTGGGCTTCCTCTTGGCAGCTGCCCGTTGCAGTTACCAGTTGCCAGTTGCCAGTTGCAGTTGCAGCTGTGGCAAAGGCAGCCACAATGAAAGTCGCAGCCAGGAGCGGAACAGGGGCTAGCTGGGCGCCCACAAGAGGGCGCTTAATGAGAAGACAAGCAAGCAGTTGGATGCAGTTGGATGAGAACGACAGCGCAATACTTTGTTTACAGTGGGCTTGGAAATGAAATAAAACTTACACGTGACTTCTAAACTGTAAGCCTAAGGCAGTCACTCTCAAACTTTGACTAGCATCAATTTTGTGGTAATAGCTTTGCGAACTTCTAGTCGATTTAACCTTGGGTCTTCGTCTGATCTGAGTCTGTGTGAATCTCGAATAGTATAATAGCTAGAGGCTTTATATCTGAAATTCTTAAAAATACCTCATATACCATACGCAGACGAGCTTATGATTTGCTTCGGATATCTTCTACCATTAATAAAATCGATATATATCGATTTAGTACACACTTCTTTGAGCATAACTCGAACACTACAAGGACGAATGCTACAATTTTGGTTTGAAAGTTCTCAGATATAATACAGCTATTGGGAAAATTAAATAATACTATACAATATAACCGAATATTTTATATTCGGATACCTCAGTCTATGCCCCACTGCAATTGGCATATTTTTGAAAGAAAGAACCTTGCGCTTTGGTATATTTAAACTCTTCTATGCCATGTTTTAGCCATGAAAATTTCCTAAAGATCGGACAATGAGCACCGAATTTCAATGGTAAAGCGTTTCACATACATAGCGTGGGGCAAGAAGAAGGAGAAGAAGTACATTCTCTGCGTATGTGTATGTATGTGTGCGGCTTGGCGCTGGGCTTAGGGTATCAGCTAGTCGGGCACTAAAGAACTCTAACTACTCGAATATTAAACCTTGTAGATCTTCATTTAGAGTACAAACAAGTATTAACTGCTGAAAGTGCTCGCTTATTCTTCTCTCTTCTTAATTAAGCGCCCCTTTGACTGTGGGGCCCAATGGGCCTGAGGGCGTTGAATCCGCCACCGCAGTGCTCTGAATGTTGTTATCATTTCTCTGGCTGTGGGTGTTTACGCTTTGATTTTGTTTACTTTACCTTCACTTTTTAGCTGTCGCGTCATCTGGTCACACTCGACACATTACAAAGCACGTGCGATGGGAAGCAGAAACTGGAGGTGATTTGCATAACGGAAGTAAAGCGTTCGGCGCGTGAGTTTTTCAGCTTATTAAGCTGAAAATAAGAATTGAATTAACTTTAATTTGCGCATTTAAATAGATTTTAATTTACCACCCACCAAAAGAAGATGAAAACAAAAAACAAGTCTCAAGTTCAAATTACACAGCTCGCGCAATTAGCGGCCAGAATTTGGCCAATGCGGAAACATGGACACAAATCTCGGGCCGGATCTGAGCCTAACAACAAGCATAATCAAATTAGCAGCGATTATTTCTGACTGCCTTACACTCCGAACTGGCTACCAAGGTCGCGTCCCCAACTGTGAGCTCATTCTGCACGACTGACCACAAAACAAGAGTATTTGCCCCATTCACGCAGACGATCGCATCGCCGACCTTTTGTCAGCGACGCGCCCTTAAGCTGGCGCACGCCAAAACCGTTTGCGAATTCTAAACGAAATTTGATGCAGCTGCTAGCGCCGCCTTTTGCTGTATCTTAGCTGAGGTTATCGCGGCCTATTTATCAATCCATTTCAGATTAATATTTCATTTAAATCTTCTTGAATGTATGGAAAAAAAGACTTAATATAACAAAAAGGTATTTAAATTTAAAAAAAAAAAAGAATCTATTATGTAAATTTTACTTTTGAGCTAATCTATTTAGTCAAACCAGAATTTATTTGTATATTTATTTTTAAATAAATTAATATTAATTTCTTTATAAATAGCAAGCAAACATGCATTCATACGAATATAATAAGAAATTTAGAATACTTAGCAGTTATTTTAATGGCCTCCTCCAATATAAATGCCGCCGCCTCCTTCACTTAAAGTGAAGCCCATATGATTTGTCTTAGGCCTTACTTGAATTCATGAGAATCGCGTAGAAGGGCATTAGTCAAGAATACGTTTTTCTTTTTACATTTGCAGCGCAGCTAGAAGTAAACTTGGTATTGCACATAAGCACACAAGATATATGCATACTTTCATTTACATATATATATTGTATACACATATACATGTATGCATGCAAACACACATGCATATACACATGCAAACATACATAAATACATAAACACATGCACGCCTGCACATATAATACATCCGTACAAACATTCTTACTTTCATATATACATACATACTTCGTAAGACATTGTCCATCGTAAACACATCAATACACACACATGCACACATCCCTACATACATCCCTACATACTTATTAACATACATACACACAAGCTTACATACGTACATGCATACACACACACATGCATACACACACACGTGCATACACACATTCATACACACATGCATGCACACATACATACATATGTACATACATACATTCATACATACAAACATATACACATATATATACATATATATCCACATACATACATACAAACATATATAAATACATACATACAACCATACATACATATACACATGCATACACACATACATTAATACATACGTACAGACATACAAGCATATACACAAATATGTATGTATATATCCACATACATACAAACATATACTTATATATGTATATATCCACATACATACATACATATACACATGCATACACACATACATAAATACATGCATACAGACATACTCACATTCATACATACAAACATATACACACATATGTATACATCCACATACATACATACAGACATGCATACACTAGCGGATATTACCCGGCCTTGCTGTAGCAAGTTTTGTGCTCAAAATGTTAGATATTAATTTTATTCCCCAGTCTTAGCGTTCCCCCTTCCCCACATAGCTCTTACGGTTTGGTCTGGGCGTTGATCACCAGTCGGTCAGTTAGTCAATCAGTCAGTCAATCAGTCAATCAATCAGTCAGTCAATCAGTCAGTCAGTCAGTCAATCAGTCAGTCAGTCAATCAGTCAGTCAGTCAGGACAAACAGTTTTATATATATAGACAGAAACTTCCTTTAACTCATATGTATATGCTTTGATAAATTCTTAAACTATTTGGGAATTCTAAATCAAATTTGTTTAAAGCGCTTGCGAACTGCTTTCTAAAACTGACTTTTGAGTAAATTTTCTGCATTAATTTTAAAAACATTCAATTTGTAGCTTACAATTTAATTCATATGAAAAATACAAGCAAAAAGTGCATATTTTGTAAATAATTTAAACATTGATTTTAAATATCAAAAAATATTCGTATATATAAATTATTTTTATCGAAAAAAAAAATTAAATATATATACATATGTAGGTTTATTAAGCTAAGAATGACAAATGGATCTGAACCCGCTTGCTAAATACGAAATGCGTTTGCTGTCGACCCAAATGCAGATGTATCCAATGCTGGGGGGGATTGGCATGGGCAAAGCTCGGACTAAACTCGCTTGGGAGACGTAGAGCAGGGATTGGGTTGGGGGGCAGGGACTTAGTAGGAATTGTTGGGATCGGGTTGGAATCGGGCTGGGATCGGGTTGGGATCGGGTTGGGGGACAGGGATTTAGTAGGGATTGTTGGGATCGAGTTGGGGGCAGGGACTTGGTAGGGATTGTCGGGATCGGGTTGGGATTGGGATGTGATTGGGATGTGATTGGGTTGGGTTGGGTTGGGGACAGAGATTTAGTAGGGATTGTTGGGATCGGGTTGGAATCGGGTTGGAATCGGGCTGGGATCGGGCTGGGATCGGGTTGTGATTGGGTTGGGGACAGGGATTTAGTAGGGATTGTTGGGATTGGGTTGGGGGGCAGGGATTGTTGGAATCGGATTGGGATTGGGATGTGATTGGGTTGGGTTGGGGGACAGGGACTTAGTAGTAGGGCGCCTGAAATTCGCGGCTGGGCGGCGGCAAGTACGCGGTTTGTGTGCTGGGGGAGTGGACATGGACTTGGAATATGCTGGACTGTGGGTACTCGAGCAGCTGCTGCAGCTGCTGCTGCTGCTCAAACTGGGCGTGGCCGTAGAACTGACCCTGTGTCGAATATTCAAAGTCCTGCTGCTGCTTGTGCGATTGCTGTGCGTGCTGTTCCGGCCACGCCCCGTGCATGCTGTAGATGGGCGGCAGCTCAAAGGAGTTCGATTGCATTTGAACAAAGTCATCCGGCTGGGGCGCAGCAAAGGGCTGGCGCTGATAGCGCTCGGGCAGCGCCTGACCAATCAGCTGAGCACCTCGCTGACCAGACTCCATACGGCGATCATGCTGCGCGCCAGCAGATAAATGCTGAGCTTGACCACGCTGACCGCCTGCTGCAGCACCAGCACCAGCTTGATGATTGGCGGCGTATTGAAATGTACTCAGCTGTTGCTGCTGCTGCCGGGCGTCCTGCTCCTGCTGCTGCCGGGCGTCCTGCTCCTGCTGCTGCCACGAATCCCTGCCAGGTGCCTGCTCGTAATACTGCATGCTATATGGTCCATTGTAGCCCGGCTTGGGCCTGCTGGCAAAGCTGTGCTCATATGGCAGCTGCTGCTCCGCTGGCGTCTGTACGGGATTCGGCTCCCAGTGGCCGGTGGTGGTCACCGCCTCGGTGGTCAGCTCGCTGGCCGCCGGCAAATACTTGTGGGCTGGTCCATTATAGCGATAGCCATGCCGATTGGCAATTGTTGAATCCAAATGGGCGCTCAGCGAGGGCTGTATGCCGTGAACAACGGCCAGGCTGGGCGCGCAGGCATAAAGTGCAGCCAATGCAATGTGTAAAATGCCCTGTAAGTAGTTGTTGTTGTTGTTGTTGTTGTTAGGCTGGGTCACACTTCATATTCGCCGTTACTCACAGTGCTCCGTTTCATGCTGAATCGTTTATCCTGGTCGCCGTGTGTGCGTGAATGCTGCTGCTTAGACAATGGCCGGCCAAACGGTGGATACAATACTTTTTATAGCTCTGATTTCGTCTAGCTCGTGCGAATTTATCATCAATGTTTACGATTTGCGAGCGTGTGTGTGCGCGTTGGCAGCACTCGAATCACGCTTTTTGTTACTACAAAGTGTGCCACAATAATATTATAATTATATTACCTACTAATACGCTGATGTATGTACATATAAACGTGCAGACACAACAATTGTCGCGTATCGCATAATCGCAATGAATGGCCCGAGATTTTTATGCGACAATTTGGCGTCTAGCTGGCCGTGACCGTGGCAGACATGCAGACAATGCAGACAATGCAGACGTGTGAAATGACTTTCTTTTCTCATTCATTCATTTGCATTTGGCCGGAAATGCAATTGCACTTGGCTGTTGTCAAGGGGCCGAACCCTCAATCCGTTAGAATTCAAAAATCGATAACGATAGCTTTAGGCATTACAGGCATTTTACAGTGTGGGCAGCACTTTTACTTTTCTACTGCTGCTGCTGTTGTTGTTGTTGTGTGCGTGCATTGAATTTCACAATCGTAATCGATGAATTTGAATGATAGCCGCGTGGGCACCACCAATTATTTGTACTAGCACAACAATAACAATATTTGAAGTGGACCAGCAAAAATTTCAATGCCAAACAAATCTTGACTGACAGCAACGACAGCGCCTACTTGAATAGTCCCATTGTATTTATAGAAAGTTCCTTAAACGGCGCTAAGCGCTTGCACATGAACAAATCAATAAAATCAATATCCAGCATTGGCTATGGCCTGTTAAATGCAGCATCGCATTTAAATGCGCCTATATTTGCCTATAATACAGTTAAACGTTGTGGCTCATTTGTCAATCATTATTTAAAGCCAATTTGACTTTGACTAATTTCCCAAATAGCAAAAATTTCCTTTCTGTAGGTATTTTTATTTTTTGCATTTCGTTCACTTTCTTTCAGGTCAAATATCGAGTAATACGAAAATATCGATATATTTATATATATGCGCACGAATTTGCCATCATGTTTTGGTATTTTTTATGCAAATAACTGCAAATTTTCCCAAGCAGTTATATACAATATGCCAATATAATATATAAGCTTTGCTGTTTGCATTATTATTTGCCTGCTGTGTACGGAAATACAATTCAATCAAGCATAGCCAAGATACCATAATGCTACGAACAACAATCGATATGTTTTCTAATATCGCAAGCCAAGCAACGATACCCGTAGTTGAAAGTATCGTGTTGAAGCTGTCGCTATGCTCGATGTATCGATGTATTTTTATTTTACATGGCCACTACATTGCTGTGAAGTCGCCGCTTTGAAAGCGTTTACGGGAAGAAAAGTGCAAAATAAAAAGTTTTATTTTAATTAGTGCAAGTGTTTATCCCATGTAAGTAGAAATATGAATATTGTTTAAAGCGCTGCTCAAAATGCAATGCGATGCATCTAATTTTTTTTCTTGTTGGCCACGGCTTTGCTATATACACATATATCAATTTTTTTCTCCCGTCAAAGACTAGCTGTGTATGTACGCGCGCGTGTGTGTGTGTGTGCGGTCAATTTTTGTGTTGGTATAGTTTTTTTTTTTCTTCGTTTTTTCTACCCGCTGCGGCGGCGGCTTTTACTGCCGCTTCCACGCAATAGTTTTGCATTTAGCGTTTGTCGGCGCGGAGCGCCCCTTTTGAATGTGGTTGTGTCATAAATTTGTTAATTTAATGTTTTAACACGCCACAAGTGCACACACATACACACACACACACAGCCACACAGACACAGCCACACAGACACAGACGCTGTCCGTGCAGAAAAGCACGCATACAAACACAAAAGTGCAATCAGAGCCCAAACGGGAGGCACGCAGCAGCCGAATTAGCTTCTCCTTTTGCAATTTTTTTTTTTTTTCGCTGCACTCGGGGCACTTCGTGCGATTTAGGTCCCTGGATCCGGGCCCGAGTCCCGGATGCCGAGCTCGAGCTCGAGCTGGCAACAGCAGCCGAAGCCTGCAAAACGCGCAGCAACATGTACATAAAATACGTGCACTCAACACAATCCTGTCACAGTGACGTTCGAAAGTTTGCACACGGCGGAGTGTGTCGCTCGCTGCTGCACTTGACAGATTTTGCACAGAAATTTTCAGCTTGCTTCCTTCTTTTTTTTTTTCTTTTCATTTCTTTTCCCTGACACAAGAAATCAAATTTATTTAACTTGCAGGCAACAAAAGGAAGCTAGAGCATAGTTGTGGGAAAAATTGAACCCGAACCCAATCATGCCCAAGCCGGACAGTAAAAAGCAAAGGGCCAAATATAAAACGGAGGACGACGAGGGCTCAGACGTTGAAGACAAGGTAAATGCATTTTCCAAACCCCTATGACTAATATGAAAATTGTGTTGCACTTTTTCTATTTTCTTACTTATCTTTTTTTCTTCAAACAGAACTCGGACGATGCCATAGAACAGGAGGCCGATAGCCAGGAAGGTGGCGAAGACATGGAGGCTGACAGTGATGATGACGATGACGATGACGACGATGATGATGACGACGACGACGACGACGACGAAGACGACGACGACGAGGACGAAGACAACAAGAAACGGACAACTGACAAAAAAAAGCAGCAGCAGCAGCAGCAGCATAAATCACAACAGGAACTGGAACAATCTGATGATGACGACAGCGATGACTCCGACGAGGACAACAATGAGGAGGACAACAACGTTGACAGCAACAGTGAACAGCAGCAGCAGCAGCAGCAACAACAACAGCAGCAGCAACAGCAACCACCACCCCAGCAACAGCAACAACAGCAACAGCATCAAGAGGACCAAGAGAGCAACGCCAGCGAAGGAGCGGTCGCTGGCGCTGCTGCCGTCGTCACCGCCAACGCTGCTGAGGATCGTACGAGTGCAACGAATCTGATCATCAACTATTTACCACAGGATATGACAGATCGTGAGTTGTACAATTTGTTCAGCAGTTGCGGCTCCATCAATACATGCAAAATTATGCGAGACTACAAGGTAAGCAAGTAGAGGGTGGTGTGGTGGGCGGGCGATGCGATGCGATGCGATGAGGGGGAGTAGCTCGCACGCATATTGTGTGCCTGTCCCTGTCGCACATTGTAATTATATAGATACACACACACATAATGCAATCATGTTATCAGCATGCATCTCGCTCTATTTTGTGCGAATGTCAAAACTCATTCTCGTCATCTCTTTTTCGCAGACCGGATACAGCTTTGGCTATGGCTTCGTCGACTACAACTCGGAGGCGGACTCCGAGGAGGCGATACTAAAACTCAATGGATTCTATGTGCGCAATAAGCGCTTGAAGGTGCGTGGACACAAAGCAAACACAATAACACCAACAACGATGCACAATTGAAACAAACACTTGTCTCTTGAATTCAACTGGTGCTTACTTTATGCTCATGCGTATTTTATTTTTTCGTGCGGCAGGTATCTTATGCACGACCCGGCGGGCAATCGATCAAGGACACTAACCTGTACGTGATCAATCTGTCCCGCAACATCAACGATGATCAGCTGGATCGGATATTCTCCCCATACGGCTTGATCGTCCAACGTAACATCTTGCGGGACAAGCTAACAGGTCGCCCACGGGGCGTTGCATTTGTACGGTAAGCAGAGACATTCAAATCAATTGAAATATAAAAGTATATATAGCATAAGTATAGCTCATTTAATCATAATATATTGTGTGTACACATATTGGAAAACTCCATTTTAACAGTCAAGAAAAGTGTTATGTTTAAGAAAATGTTAAAATACGTACACTGTTAAGTGAAAATGTTATGCACTTTTATGTTAACCAAAATGTTAATGTGCATTCAGAGCGCTGTTAATTTAAGCTGTGTATACTATGCTACTTGTGGAAAATACGGAGAAAAAGTAAAAAAAAAAAAAAGTGACGCCCGAAATTCTCTTTGCAACTCTTTGGAAATTTCTAGTGCCAAGGGCTAGCAGCGAGAGGAGGTCAGTGAGCATCTGAGTTTCTCAAAGGTCTCTCGCTGGCTGCCTTAACTAGAAAATACTATTTGAATAATTTTTAGAGCTGTATTACAAAGCAGATGTGTCGCATAATTATACCTACATCATACAAAAACTAAATTATATTGTTTGTAAATGAACTTTATGTTATGGCAAGTCGAAAAAAGTTCGTATAAGAGCTTTATGAAAGTTTATACTATTTATATGATGTAGAGATACAAGCACACTGAACCTATGAACTTTAAAGTTATTTGGAAAAACATGAGAGTTGATGAAATGGAAACCGAATCTTTCTCGGGATATAGTAAAACGATATTGATAAGATGAGTACTCTTATGAGTATAGAAGCATATCTAGAAGGAGCTTTCATAAAAAATCTTTTAAAACAAAAGCACATTTTCGCATGGTACTCGATTTGTACTGTGTCTATAGCGCTACAGACTAGACATAATAAAGTAAGCAAAGTTTCATCAAAGATGTTTTAAATTCTAAGCGAACACTCCTCTGTCAGCTATGCGATATATTGGTGTGATCCGTTCCGAATTCGACATATTTCTATGCTTTTCTTTCATAACATTAGCTACAAAACTTAGAGATAAGTTTGCATTAAATGACAAAGGAATATTGTTTTAAGGACTCGTCTTTTGATAGTGATGAGGAGCATATGACTTAATTATATAGACAGATGGAGAGTAGTAAAGGATAAAAGTATAAAACACAGGTTGATTAATAGTAATTAGGGATTATCGATAGTCTGATTTGTGATGTTGAGCAGATGTTGAGGACCCAAGAACTCATGGAAAGAAAGTATAAAGTTTAAGTATATACATATATCAAATATAGATTATAATAATAAATAATCAAAGTCAGGGAATGTATGAAAAACCCTTCCTGACAAGTAAATACATTTTGTGACAATAGATAGATCGATTTCAAGGACTTTATAGATTTTTTCTTGAGATTTATTGATTATTGTCCGTCTTTAAACACTTTAGAATGAATTGTGTAATAGATATTAATAACATGCCCACATACACGGCGGTTGTGCATCTACAACCTCTAGTTACACATGGCAAATGTATTTTTTGGTGAACTTCGGTGCTTACGGTCCGATTTTTATTCAGTTTTTGGGTCTCTACCTTTGATAACAGTTTTTCCAATGCATAAAAAAAGTGAAAAATTCTGCCTGTATGCGCGTCTACTTTACGGGAACCTCTTTTCGTCATCAATCTGAATTCAAATTTTGAAAGATTTAACAGAAATTTTTCTAAAAAACTTGCACTTAAACTTTTTTATATTTAATATTGTATTCCTAATAAAATAATTCGTGTTTTTTAAGGCATTTTTAATATCTTTGCAATATGAAAGACAGCGTGCTTGAATCAAATTAACATATAACAATAACATGTTAATCCTAACATAGCCTTAACATTTCGGATAATGTCAACTTAATGTTAATTGCTTTAGTTAATTGATATTCGTTTATTTTTTCTCGCTTAAACTTCTTTATGAGCATTTAATTAAAACTCTTAACCTTTTGCCTCATTCCCTCTCTCTCTCTCTCTCGCTCTCTGTGTGCAGTTACAATAAGCGCGAGGAGGCGCAGGAAGCAATCAAGGCCCTCAACAATACGGTGCCGGAGGGCGGCTCACAGCCAATCTGGGTGCGGCTGGCTGAGGAGCACGGCAAGGCGAAGGCCGCACAATTTATGTCACAAATTGCGGGCGGGCCGCACATGGGCCCGCCGCAGCAACAACAGCCGCCGCACCACATGAATCCCCACATGCAGCAGCAGCAGGCGCACCAGCATCATTCGCACCACCAGCAGCAGCAGCAGCAGCAGATGCATCATCAGCACCATCAGCAGCAGCAGCAGCACCAGCAGCAGCAGCAGCAACAACAACAGCAGCAGCAACATCATCATCATCATCACAGTTTGCCACCACCGCCACCGCACCACATGCAACAGTTGCATCATCATCCGCACGGAGGAGGTGGCGGCGGGATCGGTGTCGGTGTCGGCGTCGGTCTGCCACAGCCGATGCACGGCGGTGGCGGGGGCGGCGGCGTCGGCTATCACCATATGGCACACAGAGGTAGATCAAATAGAACAACACGATCTCAAAAACCGCATCCATATAACCATGCACAGAAATTTATTTAAAACAAAATTAATTTCTTTACACAATATTAGCTGCATCTCACAGGTGAAGTGTTCATGCTGCCATTGCCTATCAGAATATTGCCAATGCCCCGACCACAAGCACAGCTGCGACTGCAGCGGCAGCAGCAGCAGCATCAGCAGCAGCAGCGCCAGCAGCAACAGCTGTGCGACGGCAAAAGCGTTGCAGCTGCAACTGCAGCGGCGCCCACGGCGGCGCCCACAGCAGCAGCAGCAGCCACAACGGCGGCGGCGGCAATGGCCTACAGCAACAACAACAGCACAACAGCAACGGCAGCATCAACAGTAACAGCAAATACAGTAATTCAACCACAACAGCAACAGCAACAACATCAGCAGCAGCAGCAGCAGCAGCAACAACAACAGTCATTAATGCAACAGCAACAACAACAACAACAACCTTAGCTGCAGCGATACACAGCGACAGCAACAATGCTGCAACAGGCACAGCAGCTGCAACAGGCACAGCAGCTGCAACAGCTCTGGCAGCAGCAGCAACAACCCTTACAGCGACTGCAATTGAAACAGCAGCAGCAACAACAGCAACAACATCAGCTTCAGCAGCAGCTACATTGACAGTTGCAACAACTTTAGCTGCAACAACTACTTTGGCAGCAATACCCGCAACGACAACAACAACAACAACGAACGAAAACACGAATGCAAACAGAGTTGCCACCGCCAATGCGTCTGCAAATGCAACAGCAATACTGCAACAGCAGCGATTGCTACAACCGCTGCAACTGCCACGACCTCAGCCACTCCAACAACGGCCCCAACAGCAGCAACAACTGCAACAACAGCGGCCACAGCAGCAACAGCAACGACAACAGCAGCAGCAACAGATGCAACAACGGCCCCAACAACAACGGCACCAACAGATGCAACAACGGCCACAGCAGCAACAACAACGGCCACAGCAGCAACAACAACGGCACCAACAGCAACAACAACGGCCACAGCAGCAACAACAACGGCACCAACAGCAACAACAACGGCCACAGCAGCGCCAACAATTGTCACAACGGCCACAGCTACAGCAACAACGTTCCCAACAAATGCAACAAAGGCCCCAACATATGCAACAAAGGCCCCAGCAGATGCAACAAAGGCCCCAACATATGCAACAACAACGGCCCCAACAGCAGCAACAACGGCCGCAGTTGCAGCAACAAAGGCCACAGCTGCACCAACGGCAGCAACAAAGGCCACAGCAGCAGCAACAAAGGCCGCAGTTGCAGCAAGAAAGGCCACAGCAGCAGCAACAACGGCCGCAGTTGCAGCAACAAAGGCCACAGCAGCAGCAACAAAGGCCGCAGTTGCATCAACAACGGCCGCAGTTGCATCAACAACGGCCGCAGTTGCATCAACAACGGCCGCAGTTGCATCATCAACGGCCACAGCAGCAGCAACAAAGGCCGCAGTTGTATCAACAACGGCCACAGCTGCACCAATATCGGCCACATCTGCACCAATATTGGCCACAACAGCAGCAGCCGCAAATGCCACAATTTCAGCAGCAAGTGCCACAATATCCACCGCATATGCTACAATTTGAGCCGGAAATGCCACAATATCTACCGCAAATGCCAATATTTGAGCCGGAAATGACACTATTTGAGCCGGAAATGCCACAATTTGAGCCGGAAATGATACAATATCTACCGCAATCGCCACAATTTGAGCCGGAAATGCTACAATATCCACCTCAAATGCCACAATTTGAGCCGGAAATGGCACAATATCCACCGCAAATGGCACAATATCTACCTCAAATGCCACAATTTGAGCCGGAAATGGCACAATATTCACCGCAAATGCCACAATTTGAGCCGGAAATGCTACAATATCCACCTCAAATGCCACAATACCCACCTCAAATGCCACAATACCCACCTCAAATGCCACAATATCCACCTCAAATGCCACAACAATATCCACCGCAAATGCCACAACAATATCCACCACAATACCCACCACAACCACCCCAACAACCGATGAACATGCAACCTTTACCGTTGTCGGGCTTGCAACCAATTTATGCCCGTGATAGCAATGGCAATTTATCGCCCACCCCGTACGTTTTGGCGCCCGCCAATTATGCGGCGCTGCCGTATGCTATGGTACCCTATGGGACAACAACAACGACGACAACAACGACAACGACATCGATTCATGGTGGCAGCTGCGTCTATTATCATTATGCGAATGCCAGCTATGTGAATAGCATTAACTTATACGATCAGAATACGGGCCAGATGTCCGTCATGGGCGTGGTCTATGTGGCATACAAGCGCAACAGTCCCGAGGCGGCGGCAGCATTTGCGCAAGCCCAGGCCCAGGCTCAGGCTTTTGCCATGGCCCAGGCGGCGGCAGCAGCAGCAGCAGCGGCTGCAGCAGAGGAGGAGGAAGAATATGAATATGAATATGAGGGGGAGTATGTGGTGGAGGAGGTGGATGATGATGAGGATGAGGTGGAGGTGGAGGTGGAGGTGGAGGAGCAGGAGCAGGAGCAGGAGCAGCATGGTGAGGAGGAGGTGGAGGAAGAGGAGTTGTTGCAGACGCACAGCAGACGCGGCGGCGGTGGTAGCAGCTCGTAAAAAGCATCGGAAAAAGAAAGTGAAGATGAAAATACAAAACAAAAGAAAACTAAAACTTTTTTACCTATTTTAAATATAAGAATTGTTGTTGTTGTTGTTGTTTGTAAAACCTTTTCCCCCCGAAAAATGAATCTATGTGCTGAATGTGAAACAAAGAGAACCCCAAAACATATGTATAGATATACGATATATGCTATAGATCTATCTATATATATATATATATATATTTATATATTTACAAATATATGTGTGTATATATATACAGGCAGCCGACCCAAAAAATATTTAATATGCCAAACACAGAAGAAAACAAAAGCTCGCAAAAATTATATATATTCAAAAAGAGACAGAAAACGTTTTGAAACATGTGGAATACAAATAATGAAAAGGCTAATTAAAAATACGTTTTGGGCATTTACGGCATTAAAAATTATAACTAAAAACAAAACAAATATATATATATATATATATATATATGTATATGAATATATGAATATATATTTTTAAAGAACAAGAAACTGAACTCGAAAGCAATTGGCAGCAAGGAGAATTCGCAAAGAGCAGCAAAATGCAAATGAAAGCGAACCGAACACAAAAGAAACAACAAGAGAAAACAACTTGCAAATATGTAACACACACACACACACACACACACATACACACACACACACCATATACACACACTTGTATTTGTTTAGCAATAATTATTGATTTAAATTTTTAATTGTTCAATTTGACCAACTAAAACGAATTTTATTTTGCATGTGCCCAGGCACACGAACTACACACAACCTCAAAGGCACACACACACACACACACACACAGACACACACACACTCACACTCCAATTGCTATGAATTTGTATAAAAAAAAAAAAGGCAAAATAAACATTGATAAAATGCAAAAATTGTAGACTACGCAATTCTATGAATTTACAAATATATATATTTAAATATATACATATATATTCATAAATCGGATTACATTATATATATATATATGTATATACATACTGATAATATTTGTATTGATGTACAGCAAACTATGTGTCGTGTGTGTATACAAATGTGTCAATCAATGCTGATTGATGGAATCTACGAATTTGTTATGTGAGAAAAACCAGCAACAAAGCGAAAGAAAAACAAAGAGAAAGAAGAGAAGTTAAATAGCAAGAGAGTAAAATTACCTTTAAAGCAGAATCGATTTGATATACGGACTTTTTTTGAATAACTTTTAAAAACTAGTCTTATAGCATTATAATAGTTAAGACATTTTTTTGCGCAACAAAAAAAAAAAACAAAACAAAAGAGCTAAATTTAAAGAAATGAAAAATATAAAAAATACATGTACTAAAAATAATAATAAAACAAACTACAAAACAGAACACTTAATATTAGAGAATATGCTAAAAATTTGTATATAGAAAAAACAATTTTGTACCAGTACGAAAAAGAAAGAGACCGAGCGAGATAGAGAGAGAGAGAGTGATAGAGCCAGAACAGTTACAATAAAAACAAAATGGCGTCCGCACAGCATGAAACAGTTAGGAGCTAGTGCGTTTTTTGCACATACAAATGAGCGAGATGGCAAGCATTGGAGGAAAGAGACAGATATATACATATAAATAAATATATATATAGTTAATGACAGGCCAGGTACAGTCAGACAAGAAATGGGGGCTTATAAAACTAAGTTTTAAGTATGCGTGTACTCTAAGTAAATTGTAATTGTAAAATGTAATGGATAATAATGTTTTTTGTTCGTTTCGAATAGTTGAAATTGTACATTAGCAGCAGCTGCATAGAACAAGATGAACTTTCTACAGGTTATATATAATATTGTCGTCGCAACTGAAGCGTAACTGAAATCCCTATAAATATATATATATATACTTATACTTATATATATATATATATCTTTATATATATCTACATAAATGTATACAATACACGTGAAGAGCAATTGTTTATTTACAAGCAAATCTTTGATGGTCAATAATGTCTAGTATACTAAAAAAAAAAAAAAAACTGAATCAAGGTTTATAAATGGCAAATTGATGTATGTATTATTTTGCATGTGTCAAACCGCAACTACTACAAGTATGTGTAATAAATGTGTTTCAAACCAACAACAAAACGCATTTTTATGTTCATTTAACACTTTGCTTTTGCCTGGACCCATTCAAATTGCGCGCCCTTTGAGCTATGTTAACGGGTATGTTAATAACATGGGCGGCGGTGTTATTAACATGCCAGTGTTAGCAATACCAGTGACAGACGTGTGGCCACACTGGCTGACATTGGAAAATACCGTGTGGAAAAATACCAGCAGAGATTCCATAAAAAGGCAATTAGCGCAAAAAAATAAAGAAAACTAACGCAACGGAAAAACAATAGCAGGACGACACAAATCTGACACCAGAAACGTGAGTTCGATTTTGATGATATACAAGTGCTGAGCCAGCGCAGCAGCAGAGTGCACATAGACGGAACGAGTGCGTGCAATCGGAGACAACGCAACGCAGAGACTGGCAGACGACGACGACGACGGCCAATTTATTTAGCCAATGCCTTGAAACGGAATACGCAATAAATTGCTCGACGGCGACGACCTTGCCCATTGCGACTGTTGAGGCGGGCATTGCGTGGCGCGCCAAGCGCCAGACTCCCAAGCCCCAAAAGCAAAGGACAATTCCAAAGCAAATTGCATCGGTCAGGCAACAACAACAACAGCAGCAGCAGCAACAATAACAAGAAATATAGCAGCAACGATAACGATAACGCTACCGATTAACGATAACAGCAGCTGCAGCATCCGAAGATGCCACAGTTGAGGGCCGCTGCCGCTGAGGCGGCCGCTGCTGGCGGGGTCGGCGCCCAGCCGCTGGTCAAGATTGGCCACTATCTGCTCGGCGCGACACTGGGCACCGGCACCTTCGGCAAGGTGAAGATCGGCGAGCATCAGATCACACGGCTGAAGGTCGCCGTCAAGATACTCAATCGCCAGAAGATCAAGAGTCTTGATGTTGTCTCCAAAATCAAGCGAGAGATACAAAATCTGAAGCTCTTCCGCCATCCGCACATCATCAAGCTGTACCAGGTGAGCAAATCCGGCGCCAGCACACACACACACACACACGCACACACACACCCGTTTCTCAACCCCGCCCCTTAGCTAGCCAATGTTGGGCGCGTGTTGCCGTGTCACGTAGCCGCAAACATGAAACTCGACGAGCCCTAAATAAGCACATTTATGCATTCCTTTTTATTTACTTAGCCTCCATAAGTTGTGCGTAAACAAGTGCCAAATGCAGCAATGCGGCTCGACCGACTGGCAGATACCCTGCACCTTGGCTGGCTGCTCGAAAAGGTCTGGCCGTGGGCGTGGCTTAAGGTGACTCTTGAACTGCAGCTCGCAAACTGTTTTGGGCGTGGCTGGCACCTTGCAGTCAGCAAACTGTGACTCTCGACCTGTGATTCTAAAACTGTGGGAGTCATAGCTGATTGTAAATAGTGCGTCCAACTTCCCAAACTTGGCAGCACTCTACAGCTGTGGCTTTCAAACTGCGGCAAACAACAGTTTCTGCAACTAAAGAGGAGGCCAGAGTGGACTTGCCTGGCCTTTTACTGGCTAGATTCTAAAGGCAGCTCATATCACATTAGCTGATTCTAATACTGTAACGCTAAAACTGAAATGAGAATGTAGAAGAGGGGCTAGAGTGGACCTCCTTAGCAGCTCATATCCAAATAGATGATGCCTAAACTGTAACTTAAATTAACCCAAAACTGTAACATCTTAAACTTGGAAGCACTCTAAAAGCTATGGCTTTCAAACTGTGGCAAACAACAGTTTATGGCATTGAAGAGACTGGAGTGGACCTGATTAGCTAATTTCTGGCTTGATTCTTTCAGAGGTTCATATCACATTAGGTGACTATAAAACTGTAATCGCATCTATTTGACATCGATCCTGGTAGCATTCACGAAGTCAAAAGTAAATTGCAAAAATTCGCTGATTCTGAAACTGTAACTTGTTAAATTTGGCAGCACTCTAAGGTTGTAGCTTTCAAACTGTGCCATAACAATACTTTATGCGAATCGAGGAGAGGGCTAGAGTGGACCTGCTTGGTTTTTTCTCTGCTGTCGATGTTTTTTTCAACAGTTCAAACCCAATTTAGTGACTGTAAAACTGTAAATCTGTTCATGGCTAGATAACATGTCTCTTTATCTTTAAAAAAGATCATGAGTATTCTAAAAGAAAGAGAAGAAACTCATTGACATAATTGCTTTCAAAATGTGGCTCTAAAACTGTGGCATTTGTGTGAAGATCTACAGTAAAACAAGAAACTAATCAGCTGGATAACATTTCACTTGAACCGTAAAAGCGAACATGACTAAGCAAAAACATGCACATTGACACAATGGCCTTCAAACTGTGAACATAAAAGGTGAGCCTTAAAACTGGCATTTTTTTTTAATGTGGTTCCACAAAAGCTTAACATAATATATCTCTTTCTCTTTCAAATAGATCATGAGTAATCAGCGAAAAAGTACACGATCGCAATGACTCTCAAACTGTGGCTCTAAATCAGGCCATTTTGTACAGCAGCTCAAGGAATGGCTCCAAAACTGTGGGATACATAGAAATGCAAGAAATCGCTAGACTAAACGAACCGATCTACCCTATTTTGCTTCCCTTCGGACACAGGGTATTCGAACTAATCGTCCATTATTGTGAGAATCTGCAGTTATACAAGAAATAGCTCCGGAACTGGGGAGCACATCGTTGAGATTATCGAAATGCATATACCCAGCTTTTTTTGTTTTGTTGCCTCTGGGCACAGGGCATACTAATCCAATACTTTGTCGTCAACGGAATCCGCTCTTAAGTGGCATCCGATACGCAGCTGTGCGAGCAATTGTGTTCGTTTATTTTTCAGCGAATCAATTTGTAATCAATTCCCGGATAGACGTCGCCCCGCGCCTAGGCGAACCGTAGGGAAACTATTGAATGCATATTTAACCTACTTAAATGTTTATGCACATGTGCATAAACAATAAACATAAACAATATACAGAAGCCCAGTCTCAGGCCGGCGCTCAAAGCAAAACCTCCTGGTTGTTCCGTCTGCCCCGGACTGGGACATTGGGAATCTCCCATAAAGTATATATATTCTTGATCAGCATCAATAGCCGAGTCGATCTAGTCCATGTCCGTCTGTCTGTCCGTGTGTATGAACGCAAGGATCTCAGAAATTTTAGCTGAAGGTCCTCCTAGTGCCTGCGCAAATCGATTTGTTTCCGATAGTCGATAACTTGCCCCGTTTCCAAGTAATCGATAAAAATCGATATCGAAATCCTGTTTTTTGAGCAATTTCGGCAAATGATATGAGCTAGAGTCACCAAACGTGATATGTAGCTTCTAGAATAGTATATATATATCAAGTATCTTTCATTTTATACCTATCGCCTGTTGGAAGAAGAGTCGGGAGCTCCCGACTAGAACCTCTTGTTCTTCTTCTATGCATTGAATTTCTTTTAGAGATAGCTTTGATGTGCTTCTTTGTCCAACACTTTGCTAATTAACTTTTATAAAAACTTAGATAGATTGTTAGTCTAATCTAAATTGAGAAAGAGATAGATAAGACTATTCTATGTCGGCATTAACCGGCTTTGTTCGGTCAATAGTTATTGTACCTTGAATATGTTTATTTATATTTTGCTTAACCATGCCCACGTCGAGCTTATCATTTCTTGTTGATATCTCCCACAATTTGCATAATATCGATAAATATCGATTTTGGTTTTTTGCTTTTTAAGCATAACTCAAGAACTGTCAGAGCTGGGCCCGTAAAATTTGGTATGTAGGTTCTTGAATAGTCTATGCAGATAAAGAATAATTAATTTTTTTAATATCTTTCCCCATTTCCCTTAAAATTGTGGCAAATTGAGTAGAATTCGTCTTAAAGATATTGCCTGGCATTTTTAAATTCTAGTCAGGAGCACGTTTTAGCTGTTTACATCTTACCAACAGATTGTTTGCAACAATTGTGAAACATGTCTTTTATGCATTTTTACAGATATTTGAAAATATGTTTTCAGAAATTTTTCAAAGCGAGGTCTTTGCGTTTACTAAGGTCACAAAAAGGCAACAACTGTTAAGGCTGGAGCTGTGCGTTGATTATCAGTCAATCAATCAGTCGAACAATCAGTCAGTCAGTCAAGCAGTCAATCAATTAGTCAGTCAATCAATCAATCAGTTAATAATTATAACCAATTAATAAAAATGATCATTTTGTGATATATTACAGCTGAAAGAAATTCTAGACCAGCTCAATTGTATATTATATTGTTGTTCAATGATAATCCCAATTTTTATTTATATATATCGAAAATATTTGAGGAAAAATTGTTTTGCGCTATGTTCAATCATGGAATTAAACTAATTTTGGGGCTGACAAGCAGACAATTCCCATTATTCTAGCAGATAATTCCCATTATTCTAGCAGAAAATTCCCTTTTTTCTAGCAGACAAATCCCCTTATTCTTACAGATAATTCCCGTTATTCCAGCCGATAATTCCCTTTATTCCAGCAGACAATTCCCCGTATTCTAGCAGATAATTCCCGTTATTCCAGCAGATAATTCCCCTTATTCTGGCAGATAATTCCCATTATTCTAGCAGATAATTCCCGTTATTTCAGCAGACAAATCCCCTTATTCCCGCAGACAATTCCCATTATTCAAGCAGATAAAACCCATTATTCTAGCAGACAAATCCCCTTATTCCCGCAGACAATTCCCATTATTCAAGCAGATAAAACCCTTTATTCCAAGCAAACAATTCCCCATATTCGATTAATTCGCTTTCTAATCGCCAAATCTGTCTTCTCTTCTTGCCAGGTCATCTCGACGCCCTCGGACATATTCATGATAATGGAGTATGTGAGCGGCGGAGAGCTGTTCGATTATATTGTGAAGCATGGGAAGCTGCAGGAGCATCAGGCACGTCGCTTCTTCCAGCAGATCATATCGGGCGTGGACTATTGCCACAGGCATATGATTGTCCATCGTGATCTGAAGCCGGAGAATCTGCTGCTCGATCACAATATGCACGTAAAGATCGCCGACTTTGGGCTGTCGAACATGATGCTCGACGGTGAATTCTTGCGCACATCGTGCGGCTCACCCAACTATGCGGCGCCCGAGGTGATATCGGGCAAATTGTATGCTGGTCCCGAGGTGGATATCTGGTCATGCGGCGTCATACTGTATGCCCTGCTCTGCGGCACGCTGCCGTTCGATGATGAGCATGTGCCTTCGCTGTTTCGCAAAATCAAATCGGGCATCTTTCCCATACCGGAGTATCTGAACAAGCAGGTCGTCAATTTGGTGTGCCAGATGCTGCAGGTGGATCCGCTGAAGCGTGCCACCATTGAGGAGATCAAGAAGCACGAGTGGTTCCAAAAGGATTTGCCCGCCTATCTGTTTCCCTCCTCCATCGAGCAGGACTCCAATGTCATCGATACGTACGCCGTGGCCGAGGTCTGCACCAAGTTCGGCGTCAAGGAGTCCGAGGTGCACAATTCCCTACTAAGCGGCGATCCGCACGATCAGCTGGCCATTGCCTATCATCTGATCATTGACAACAAACGCTTCGCGGACGATGCGGCCACACAGATTAGCGAGATCAACAACTTTTTTGTCGCCGGCTCACCGCCGCCGCCCATGTCCCATTCACCGCACGAGCCGCGCTCCAGCGGCGCCGAGCCCTCGGCCACGGTTATTGTGGGTGCAGGTGCTTCTGGCGCCGGCGGCGGCGGCAGCGGAGGCACTGCAGCCAGCTCGGGCAGCGCCACGCCCAGCGGCGTAGCGAGCAACGCTGCGCCAAGCATACGACCACATCCGGAGCGCATAGCGCCGATGCGCGAACGCCAGCTGGCCATGTCCGTGCAGAATACGGGCGGCGCCGCTTTTCCCGAGAAGACGGCGCGCGGCGGCACGCCAATCAAACGGGCCAAATGGCATCTGGGCATACGATCGCAGAGCAAGCCGAACGACATCATGCTGGAGGTATATCGGGCCATGAAGGCGCTCAACTACGAGTGGAAGATCATCAATCCGTATCATGTGCGCGTCCGGCGACAGAACGTGAAGACCGGTAAATTTTCGAAAATGTCGCTGCAGCTCTACCAGGTGGATCCCAAGAGCTATCTGCTTGACTTCAAGTCGCTGACCAACGACGAGGTCGAGCAGGGCGACGATGTCATCATGGAGAGCCTCACCCCGCCCCCGTTGAGCGCCAGCGGTGCCATGCCCCTCCAGCCGACGGGCCATCATACGATGGAGTTCTTTGAGATGTGCGCGGCGCTCATCATACAGCTGGCGCGCTAAACCCAACGCCTCAACCAAAATAGCAACAACAACAGCAGCAACAATAATGCCACCCCCTTTTTAAATTCTGCATACGCACGCCCATGGCATGGCGTCCAAATGAGACAGAAAGTGGACAACACCAGCTGCACTCCAACCGATTTGGACGCTTTGTCGTGTTAATATTATTCTTATTATTATTACTATACTAATTCTTATTATTATATATATATATATACACACCCCCTCCTCCACCGCGCACTTCCCCCTCCGAATCCTGCAAACCTAGCAAATTGTTGAGCAAAGATCACATTTTCTGTAGTTGTTTCAATTGTGTTGCTACAAACTTTTGTTGTCCATTTTGTTTTTGTGTGTGTTTGAATCCTTGATATTGATTTGTTTTTTTCCCCCCATTTGTAATATTTTACATTATTTTATATTATGATAATTATTGTATTTTTGCCAAAACGCAAGTCAAAACAAATTGTATTTAATATGATTACATGAAGTTGCAATAATTCCCTTTAACACAATTTATTATGATTTTTTAGCCCTCCTCGATATACAAATATGTATTTTTTTTTTTAAAGGCCGTTGCTTTTTACGCCTCTTGTTGAAACATTTTTACTTTTATTTTTTGTTTTCCACATTTTTTTTTATTAATATATATATATATATATGGTATAAGGCATAGCTAAATTACAAAGCTTGCGGCAAACAAATTCGTTATTTGAACTGTAACAAGACAAAAAGTGGAACTAAATATACAATATATCCAAATATATATATATATATATATGATACATATATATATATATATATATACAAACATCGAGTTGCCAGCAAAACTTGTAACAATTTGTTTCTCTACATACGCTAAACGCAGCTAAGGATAGGGGTATATATAATATATATATATTCGCGATCTCGAGACTTGAAATTTGAAATAGATATTGTCACCATATAACCCATAGACCGTGATATAAATAAATTCGAAAAATGCCCGAGTTAGATACAGATTCGTGTGAAGATAGATTTAGACTAATTCACTTTCTAGATATCTCCAGGCATAACCAACCAAATTAAACAAATATAACAGCAAAGCGAATTCCTAAAGGCAGAGCCTTGGACCTTGGTCTAACAAATTTAAGACCTAAAAGTTTGCCTAATATTCTACTATAAAAATCAAAGTTAATCAAGATATGAAGCTCAAAGGAAGCAACAGAGAATCATATAACGTAAGCTCTTTATATATTTGGCATACAATTGCAATATTTGAATATGTTTAATAACAATAAATTCTTTGCTAACGCGACAGTTTATTATTACAAATATACAGCATCTTCTACCAACTATTATATTAAAAAAAAAAAACAATACTAAGGCCTTCGGCGAACACAACAAACCGAAATTTGCAGACAGTGGCGACACTGCGCGAAATTTGAAGTTCTAATTTAGAGTCGTATAGCATTAGATGGTTAGCTAATTGTCCATCTAATGCGTATTAAACTATATATAGTATTATTAAATGTTTTAGTTATTGCCATAGCTTACAGACTGCCGCGACTCGAGGAAGCGGGCCACAATGTTTATTGAGCAATTTGCTTGATGGCTTATTGCGATATACATATATAAATATATATATATATATTAACAATGAATCAATCAATTAATTAGCCAATCATTATCATTAACATAATTACTATGCTGTGTGCGTACGCGTACAAAATGTTGAGCACCCGCCCCGCGCCGCCCCGCCGTACCACGCCGTGCCGTGCACCAATTAAATTCTTAAGGCCGCAAAATACAATAATATCTAAGTAAGATAGCTACTGCTACTTCTTCTACTGCTGCTGCTGCTGCTGCTGCTGCTGCTGCTGCTGCAGTTGGAGCTACTGGTTCTGCTGCTGCTTGCGCTTGAGCTTGTCGATGAGGGTCTCTATGCTGTTGGCATCGACCAGGCCGATGAACTTGTCGACGACGACGCCATTGCGAAAGGCCAGCACGGCGGGCACGGCCTTAACCTCAAACGTTTCCACCAAATCCAGATTGTCCTCCACATCGATGATCGCCAAATCGATTTCATTCGAATTCTCCAATAGTTCTAGCATTTTTGGTGTGAGTATTTTGCACGGATCGCACCATTCCGCATGAAAATTAACAATTACCGGATTGTCGCTGTTTATAACCTATGGAAAAAGAAAACAATCGCAATTTAATAAGAAAACCCATTATCTTTATGTATTTTGGATAGTGAAGCCGAACGATTCTAGCTTATTTGCATACACGCGCATACGCACAAACAACCTATAAAAGTGTTGATAGTCGACTAGCGGATACCCTGTAGTAATATCATAATATGTTTATCTTATATTCATAAACAAAATCGAATTAGTTCTTAGTCACTTTTCACGCCGAATAAAATGAATTTTTAACATTTTCAATTGAAATCGCAAATTTGTAAACATGTTTTCGTTTTCTCCATATTTGTTTTAAAAAAGAAGAAGCAGAAAAGAACCCATGTTCCGTTAAATAAATAAGGTACCACTTTTGGTACATTTGTGCTCGATTTGGCAATCAACAGTTACTCGCGACTCAGCTGTTTGATCGAATCGAGTGGTGTATACACTTTTTTTTTATTCTGTTATTTATTTACAGGGTATCAGATGAGCCGCCAAATACGTACTCGCCATTGCCGAAATGCGTCACTGGTTACGGCCGGAACCGCTCACGTAGGCCAAACGGCCGACAACCAGTCGGATAGCCGCATGCCAAGCGCATTGCATAATGCTACGCCACTTGCATCCGTGTGTGAGTAAGTGCAAGTGCGCTCACATGTAAGTACAGGTAATTATGGTTGCTGACGCTGCTCACCTTCTGATCGAAATCGTAGTGATCCTTGATCACCAGCTTCCTGTGCAGCATCTGGGATTGTGAGAGGCACTTCTGTGTGGCTTTTGCCGCCTGTGGCGCCACTCGCTGGCAGCTGCTCTGGGCGCTGCTATTGATAAGGCAACAGGCCGCCAGACGTGGAGCGATGCCTTCTGCTGCGATTTTTAGCATTGTTATAGGCAGCTACGTGTGCAAGGCAGAGTCCTTAAAGAGCGTCGACTGTAAACGGATTCGAGTGCTGGACGTGGTCAGATGTGCTGAAGACGCGACGATAAGATAAATAATAAATGTGTACAAAAATTCACTGCTGTTTTCTTTATGGTACGATGGCAAAGCGGAGCGGGTGTCTGTGCGTTTGTCTGGCAAGGCTGCTTTTGAATTGAGTGTTGCCAGCTATCTTAACTATGCTCCTGCAGTTCACATGGCAACGCTGCCCAAAAGCGCCATTTTTAAATGGGAAATAACAATTACAGCAATTACTTTAACAAATAGCTAAAATTAGCTAAAATTAAGGGGGGGGCCCCGTTTTTTTTACTAAAAATTAATTCATTATAGAAAATTTTAACAGTAGCCGCAAAAGGCTGGCGCAGAGCACAAAGAGATCTGTTTTTAACAAAATGTGGCCACCCGAAATTTGTGCATATGGCCTGCCGTCTCTGTTGAATTTGAACAGCGCCTCACAGTGCGGTATCTAATGCGCAATTTGTTTGTTTAATTCAGTCATATGTGTGCTCATTAAATTTGATTGACGTGCAAATAAAAGTTATGGTCGACATAAGGATAATATCAAACATTATGTTTTTTTTTGAAAAACACTGAAAGTTAGGGTACAAATTGTGAATGCAATAGCAATATGTGTACCAACCCCATATACAGTCAGTGTTGCCAACTGCCGCTGAATCCAATTTGAAAAACAGCTGTAAAATAGCTTTCCGAGCAGATGTGGTACAAATGTACCTAAATATAATTTGTTCAATCGTAAGCTGAATATATAAGGCTTGTATTTGGGTAAAATGTAATTGTTTCAAATTAAGAGTTAAAACTTAAACAAGTTTGAGTCATTTTTATTTGTCAACGTTGTAAGCAGACATATATGGTACTTTTTAAACAAAATGGTACATTTTATGTGTGCCTACGGGTACAATTCGTTTAGAACAAAATGAGCTCGTAACGGCAATATTTGTGTTTAATTAACTTAGCATACATATTTACCTCCTGATCTTATCTTGCAGGGAATACGCAGCTCATCTGGCTGCGGAGTAGTCCGGTTTGAGCAGTTGCCGATGCATGTTGTACGGGATGAACGTGAGCGGAATCTACGCCAGCTATGTGGATAGCAAGCTTATTGGCATCCAGGCAGAGGAGGCGAATTTGTATGTGGTCCGTGCGCTGCGGCATGTCATCCAGGATGTGTTCGCTCAGCTCAGCGCAACGCTGGTGATAACCGTGGCCACCGGCAGCTGGACAATTGGCAAATGGTTTGAGCATGTTCTGGGCGATCTGGTCAGCACGTGGAGCGCTGTCTCAGTGCAGATGCTGCACATCAACCATTCGCCCCATGTGCCCGGACGCAAATACTGCAATCTGTTGCTGGTCGATTCCTACGAGGGCCTGCGGTAATAATACCCATCGAAATTGTGTACAATGGGTATATTGGGTGGACAGTAGGCAGTATCTTGATAAAATCCATGTCCCATGCTGTTAGAGCTAGAGAAATATATCTTTATCATTTCTTGTCTAGTAGAAGGAAGATTAAATGTTTCTTACGGCAACTTGGCGCTGGGTTCGGAATATCTTCTAGTCGGGAAATCCCGACTAGAGCACTCTTATTTGTTACACTTAAAGCATTTTCTTCTTTCTTCCTGCCATTTGCCATCTCGCACAGCTCCACGAAGATTGCCGAGGACAATGCGGGCTACGACGATCACGAGTATTATTTCATATTTTTGCAGGCGCGCGATGCGCTCATTCAGCGCGAACTGCAGCTGATACTGGACCACTGCCTGCAGCACTACTGGCTGCACTGCAACGTGATGGTGCAGACGGCCCAGGTGGAGGTGCTCATCTATACCTATTATCCGTATACGGCGCAACGCTGCCAGGCGGCGCAGCCGCAGCTGGTGAATCGGTTCGATGGCCAGCGCATGCTGCACGCGCCCATGTTTCCGCACAAGCTGCAGCAGCTGCATCAATGCCCGCTCAGTGTGGTCGTATGGCACTCGCCGCCCTTTGTGGAGCTCAACTGGGATGCGCGGGCAGCGAAAATGCGCGCCGCCGGCTTTGAGATTAGGCTTATTGAGCACCTCGCGCAGCGTCTCAATTTCAGCCTCCTGCTGCACAATGTCACGCTCGAGACGGTCGCCAGCTACCAGCAGAACTGGGGTAATGGCCGACCCATGGGACCCCTAGAGCTGGTGAGTAGCCTGTAGCTCTCTTTCCGGGAACCGACTCTGTGTTTCTTCTCAATTTGGTGAAAGGCAATTCTCTTCGGCGTTAGTCATCTTAATATTTGCATTTGGGGCATTCATAGTTTCCTGCAAAAGTTAAATTAAGTAGACTGATATATTCTAGCGTGCATCAGCTTTTATATAGGAGCATACGACTAGTGTTCAGCATATTCTTCTTGTTTTTTCTGTTATTTATCGTATCAAATCGAGTCTGGCGACATTTTTAAATGGCGCCTCTTTCAATTTTACCGTTCACTTAGTATTTTTCTTAGCAAACTGCCTAAAAAATAACAAATTATTTAGGTGCTGGAAATCACGAAAGGAGTTATGTATTTTCCAACACGATCTTTGCAAATCTACAGTTAACATACAGACTAGGCTTTGGGCTGCAGAAAAAAAGGGTAGATAGTTAGGAATCAGATTGAAGTCTATTTTATGCATCTTTGCAGGCAACTATGAATATCTTATACATATATCCTGCCTTTGGTGTTTTGTAATAACTCTGCCCTTGCAGCTGATGAAGCAGCACGCCAACCTGAGCGTGGGCAATTTCCGCAAAACAGCTGGACGCAATCGCATCCTGACCTCGCCCGTGGCCCATTACTATGCGCCCCTGGTGGCCACTGTGGCTGTCGAGCACTTTCGCTTTGGCCGCCTTACGCTGCTCCATTTCCCTTTCCAGTGGTGCGTTTGGCGCACGCTGCTCGCCGCGCTGATCATCCATTGGCTCATCTATATGTGGCGCTGGCGGCACATGGGCCTGCAGGTGCTGGAGCTGCTGCTGGGCGTGACGCTGGTGCGTTTGCCGCGCTGCTGGCTGCAGCGTATCGTCTATGCGCATTGGCTCTACGGGAGCATTCCACTGCGCGTGGTCTATCAGTCGCTGCTGTTCCATTTCATAAGGCTGCAGCTGTTCGGAACGCTGCCGCAATCCTTTGAGCAGCTGCTGGAGCGGAATTTTCGAGGTCTGTGCACAACCAACATACTGAGCATGCTACGCGAGATGCCCCAGGTGGCGCGCAACTATGACAGCTTTGTGGGCATCTCATCGCCGTTCGATGAGGCTGTGCTGGATGCACTGCATCGGTCCGGCAACAGCCGCTACTTTGCCATCACCGGGATTGACTCGGCCCATGCCCATCTGAGCGCGACAAACCGTCGGAGCAGCTACCATATCCTTACGCAATACGTCAATCTGCAGCAGGTGGTCATCTATATGCCCAAGCACTCGTATTTCCTAGAGCAGTTCAACGATCTGTTGCGCCGTCTCGATGCCAGCGGCTTTATTGACTTTTGGCGACGTGCCGCCTTCACCGAGTACAGCCACAGGAACACGCAGCTGTTGCAGCCGGAGGCACAGCAGGAGCACGAAAACGAACAGCTCAGCCAGCTGGACGGCATCTACACGCTGATGGGCGTTCTCTATGCTCTGGCCATATTGATTTTTTGCGCCGAGCTCCTCTGCCATCGACTGACCAAGCCAGCAACGGTGCAGCAGCTGGTCAAGGATTGATTTGAGTTTGTCTTAAATTCTATAGAAATCAATAAATAATGCACGACGGGTGAATCACCCTTAGCAGCAGCCCAAATTACGATTAATTAATAACAAAAGTGTTTAGGGCGAGAGTGTACGACTATGAGATACCCTAAACTCTGTCGAATTGCCGTTACAAATATATATCTTACCCTTTGTGCTGCATTTTTTCTGTGGGTCGTGCCTTCTTACTTTCGCGATCTGGCAGCGCTACATCTATGTACGGGTTAACGTACGTTAAGCTGGCAACGCTTGCAGTTAACGGAATGTGCTATAACTGCAACTCAAAAATGCGTTCGTTTCATTTAATGTGACCATGGTAACTACTTTTAACGATCTGGCAACTCTGCGAACGTTTTATATGAACTTTAAGTTGGTTACGCTTGAATGCAGATAGAATTTTCGAATTTAACTGTAAATCAATAAAAGCAAAAGACTATGCGATAAAACAAAAATAAAAATAATAAAACGGTGTAAGCCACAACAAAAAACCAAGTATCGATTATGTTGCAACCACTTATCCAATGTATCATTAATCATAAACTATTTACAGGGGGCAATTAATGTTAAAGATAAACAAAAGTTGGCGCGTGGTTGAACCTAAGCTGGGTGCCCAGCCCCAGCTGGGGGACAATGGCTGGCACATTTGGCAGTTAATAGCGGGCACAGGATGAACATATCGCAGCTGTTGCAGTCGTATCATGATCTGTCCGGAGAGCAGATGAATCACATCAATGAGTACGTGGCACAAGCCCTGCTGCATGTGGTCCACAGCTATATAATGAGCGTGACGCCGTCGCTGGTGCTGACCCTCTGCTGCCGCAACAATCACACGTGCAACTTCTACAACGAGATGATGAGCATACTCTTTCGCAGCTGGGGCATAGCACCGCTTCAGATTGTCATTGTGCAAGAGGGAATGCTGCGCCGGCTTATCCCTGGTCGCAGGCACTACAATCTCATATTCACGGACTCGTATGCGGCCTTTGCAGAGATCGAGCTGGAGTCCTATTCCCGTGACTACAACTACAACGAGTACTATTACATCTTTCTGCAGGCGCGCGATCGTCTGCTGTTCGGCGAGATGCGCCGCATATTTGCGCACTGCTGGCGCCACCAGCTCATCAATTGCAACGTCCAGGTGCAGAGGGCCAACGGGGAGATCCTGTTGTACACGTATCTGCCGTTTGGTCCGCGGAGCTGTGCTGATATGAGTCCACAGCTGATCAATCGCTACAATGGCAGCCACATGCTCCATCCCCAGATCTTTCCCCGCAAACTGAGCAACTTCTTTGGTTGCCCTCTGCGTGCCGCACTCTGGCATATGCCGCCGTTCCTCTAGCTGGAGGCCAAAGCGGGATCCGATGCGCGCATCGCTGGCGGCCTTGAGGGGCGCCTCTTGCAAACGCTCATCCAGAGACTCAACCTGACCATCCAGGTGCGCGAGCCGCCGCCTGGACCGGGACTGTTGGGCAATAGAATGCTGCAGATGGTGAGTGTCATGTTTCCTCCTTCTCCATCCAAATGACTCTCTTCTCTTTGTTCTCTTTACAGTTGCAACGTGGTGAGGCGGATCTGTGTGTGGGCGGCATTCGTCAGACGGTGGCACACAGCCTGTTGGCCACATCGACCCACAACTATCACCAGACAAGCGTCCGGTTCGGCGTTTTGGGCATCACATATGAGCTGAGCTCCCTGGACATTCTGCTCTATCCATATCCAACTACGATTTGGCTAGCCATTGGCCTTGTGCTCGCACTCTCGCTTCTGCTGCACCTGGCAATGGACCGGTTACTGCTGCTTAGGGAGCAGGGCTCCATCTGGCTCAATTTGGAGCTGATCTTCGTGGGCATGCCCATGCTGCAGACGCCGCGTTCAATCGCCAAGCGTGTGCACTGCGTCATGCTGATGCTCTACACATTACTCATACGCACCATATACCAGGGGCTGCTCTACCATCTGATACGCACGCAGCAGCTGAATCGGCTGCCGCAGTCCATCGAGGAGCTGGCGACCCACAACTATACAGTTGTCCTCTCGGCTGGCATTTACGATGTGCTCGCCGAGATACCCACCGTGCAGCAGTTGCGATTCCGCATGCTCGAAGGCGACGGCACCCTGCTGCAGCCCCTGCATTACCTAGCGGAGCGTCCACGAGACAAACGGCAAGTGGCCGCCACTATGCTGGAAATCTTTCTGATGTACAATCGCCTTAGTGAACAAGTTCAACAGCAGCAGGCGGGGAATCATTTCGAGCTGATACCACAGGATGTGATCGACCTGCAGCTGACCATGTACCTCAGGAAGCACTCCTTTCTGATCGATGAGCTCAACGAGGAGATCATGTGGATGCGCTCCGTGGGACTGCTGGCGATTTGGGCACGCTGGGAGCTGGACGAGAGCTTGAGAGCTATGCAGGCGAGCGGCTATCGAATGTTGGGCCTGCAGGAGCTGCATGTGATATTTGTCCTGGTTCTGATCGGACTGTTGTTCAGCTCGCTTCTCTTTTGCCTAGAACTGCTTTCCCTACGCTCTGCGCGACTTCAGCGCTGGTTTCTATCTAAATAAAAGATTGCAAATAGTCAGATTGCTGGAATTTCAGTTGCATTGCAGATGGCCACACTGAACAATGTTTAAAATCAGGCAGTTTAACAAAAAAACAAAAAAAGCTATTCAAGTGTTGCCATATGCGAAAAAACTTACTAAAAACCAAAACTCCTTTACAGATGGTGTAAAATGGTCACACAGGAAATGGCCACACTGAACAATATTTAAAATCAGGCAGTTTCACACAAAAAAGCTATTCAAGTGTTGCCATATGCGAAAAAATTTACTAAACACCAAAACTGGTTAACAGATGGTGACAATTGGTCACACTGTGAATATAAACGGTATAAAACAAGAACAGAACATTTTAAACGTAACGGGTATATGAAACGGGTATTTTTAAAAGTTGCCAAGGACGAATGGTTCATCAACCTGCTGTTTCCGTAAATAGCGCTTTAGTTTCTTAACACTTTGCCGCGAACTCGCAGAGTACTTCAGAAGTATGGTCTCAATTGTCGTAAGCTTATCCCGCAACAACACGATCTGACGGCGTACGTCCCAAATATGATCGTCCTTCTCGTCCTCAGAGTCCGAATCCGATGGCAATGCGACACAACCGCTCTCCTCACAATAAGCACGGACCACGGACTGCCCGACTTTCAAAACAGCTGAAGACAATGTCAATGGCCTTGGTCTATCTATTGACGAATCGGGCTTTGACTGAAGTGATCCCTCATCAGCCTGTGAAGATTCCGGAAGTATTTCTCGTGATGCTGGCGGGGTAGGATGTTGGATTGGATCTGATGGCGGGTCAGCAAGAGGAGGCTCTGGGTCCGACTGAAGTGTGTCCTGATTAGCCGCTGATGATTCCGGATCTTTATTCCGGGATGTCGCCGGGTCAGGAAGAGGCTTTGGATCCGACCGCAGTGTGCCCTGATCTGCCTGTAATGGTTTTCGACCTATTTCACTGGATGTCGACGGGATGGATTTATTGCTAACACGCTGTTCTGGAGGATCAGGAAGAGGCTCTGCTTCCCACTGAAGGTGTTCATCATCAGCTTGTGATGATTTCCGATTTCCTATTTCTCGGGATGTCGACGGGGTTGGTTTAATTTTAGCACGCTGCGAGAGTGGGTCAGGAAGGGGCTCAAAATATGAATGTGGTAATTCCGCAGCTATTTCTCGGGATGACGACGGGGTTGGTGCGTCAGGAAGGGGAATTCGTTCCACCTGAAGTGGTTCATGACCAGCTTCGGATGATTTCGGACCTATTTCTCGGGATATCGACGAGATTGGTTTGGAATGAAGACGCTGTGTTGGTTGGGCAGGATGTGGCTCCGGTGTCGACAACATACGTTCATAGCCAGCCTGTGGTAGTTCCGCGGGATCTGTTTTAGCTGTCGACTGTATACGCTTAACAATGACACGCTTTGAAGGTACGGCAGAGATGGGCTTCGGTGCCGGCTCAACTGGTTTACGACAGGCTTCTAACGGTTCCGGAACTATTGATTTATAATTAACACGCTTTAATGGCTCCAGTGTCGACTGAACTGATTCCTCCAGGTGTAATGGTTGCGCAGGCGCTGGTTCGACTGGTTCAGTGGTAAGTCCAGCTAGTTCACAAATTGGTTTCACTGATTTTCTGACAGAAGGTCGATCCGATTCCGTCTGCCGTGGTTCATAGCTAGCCTGTGGAATTTTTGGAGCTACCTCTTGGGTTGGTTTAGAACTCACACGTCGAGATTGTACGGCAGAAAGTGGCTCTGGTTCTGATTGAAATCTTTCCGGAACTAAACGCCGAGATGCTACGGTCGAAAGTGGCTCTGGTTCTGGCTGAAGGTGTTCCTGATCGGTTTGTGATGTTTTCTGAGCTACTTTGGCGGCGGACTGAATTCGTTTATCCTTAACACGCTTTAATGGTACGGATGCGGGATGTGGGTCCGGTGTCGAAACTGGTTCGTAACGGGGTTCCGGGGCTATTTCCCGGGCTGGCTCATAGCGAGCCTCTGGGGTTTCCGAGGGGACAGTTTTAGCTGGGGACTGAACTCGTTTATAATTAACACGCCTTGAAGTTGGAGCAGGAGCTGACTCTGAGCTCGGCGCATGCGGTTTATAGCTAGCTTGTGTTGGTTCCGGGGCTCTTTCTCGATTATAATTAACACTCCTTAAAGGTACGGAAGAAAGTTGCTTCGGTGTCGACTCAAGAGGCTCAAACCAAGCCTGCAGTGACTCCGGAGCTTTTTCGCGAGTTGCGGACCGAATTGATTTATGCTTAACACGTTTTAATAGTTCAGGCTTTGGCTCCGGGGGAATTTCCCGGTCTGGCTCATAGCCGACCGCAGCTGGTTCCGGGGCAACAGCTTTAGCCGGCGACTGTACTCGTTTATAATTAACTCGCCTGGATGGCACGCGAGGTACCGACTCCGGGGTCAGCTCACATAGTTGACAACAGGATTCGAACGGTTCCGGGACTATTTCTTGGACTGGCGACTGAGTTCGTTTATGGTTGCGACACTTGTAATTAATTCGCTTGGATACTGCGGCAGGTACTGACTCCGGGGTAGGTTCTGCTGGCGACCTATTTTTCTTATAGCCAGCAGCACGAGTTGATGGCATGAAAGAAAGATGCTCCGCTGTCGTCTCAAGTGGTTCAAGCCAAGCGTGAACCGGTTCCAGAGCTATTCCGCGAGTCGTTGAAGGCTTTGGTTTATGACCAACACGCTTTGATAGCACGCTGGGTTCCAGAGTCGATTCATAACCAGCCTGGGAAGCTATATCCGTTGTCGACCTCTTTTGTTTATAGTTGGTTTGCTTGGATATCGACTCTGGGTCAGGCTCAAGTGGTTCCGGGTATATCGATGGGTCTGGCGACTCAATACGTTTATAATCAACCCGCTTTAATGGCGACTCGAGTAGTTCGAACCAAGCGTCAATTGGTTCCGCAGATATTTCGCGAGAAGGCGACTGGTTCCGTTTATAGCTAGCACGCTTCGATGGCACGGCAGAGATTCGCTCTGGTGTCGAGTAAAGTGATTCGCTGCCAGCTTGTATTGGTTCGGGAGGAACTCGTTTGGCTGTCGAATGGGAACGTTTATAGCTCAGACGCTTTGTTGATGGTACGGCAGGATGTGGCTCCGGGTTTGATGATTCCGGGTCTTCTGCTTCTCGGGCTGGCGACTCGATGCGCTTGTGATAAACTTGCTTTAATGGAACGCTGGGCAGGGACTCTGGTGTCGACTGCAGTGATTCGTCCGATCGATCTTCACAGCTTGGTTTAACCGACTTACCGACAGCTTCTGGCTGGGCAGCTCTTCGGACGGCCGCTGACTGGAAAGCCTTGGCTTTGGCTTTTGACTTGTCTGGCGGCGGGTTTAATTTCAGGGGCACAAGATTATCCGGCCTCTCCGAAATGCCGAGCAGGCTGTGCGCGCGGGGCACCAGCTCGACCGGCTTCCGGGGATACACAGATGCGACTATCGTACTGCTCCGTCGCAAATAGGCGGCATAATCGAAGCGTCTTTCCGCCTCCACAATTCTTTTGAGTCCGATCGGTTTGCCCCTGCGCTCTTTGAACGCATCGTACGGCCGCCCATTGTGGTTCATCTTGTGGAATTTGTGCAGCCAATTGAGGAACTCGTAATGACCGCGACCTTTGGCCAGCTCGCGGTACGGCACATCCTTGCGGATGTTCAGTTTGGCAAAGGTGTTGCGCAGCAGCTTAAAGTTCGCCTCAATCTCGTAGCTGGCGTTCGTGTACATATAGACCTTGGTCAGCGATAATTCGGCCGGAAACAATTTGTGCACAAATTGGCAATAAACGCCGCCCGTCTTCAGCTCGGACAGCTCCTTCACGTCGCACTGCATCTCCGCGTTCACCCAGTTAAGCAGCTCGCGCACCGAGCAAGTGTCCTTCTTCATTACCATCACGTTCTTCACAAACTGCTTGGAGCCCGACTTTTGCGTTAGCGCCATTTTGCTGCAATTCACAAAAATATACAATAAGAAGTTATTTGTCACTTACGAATTTCAACATTACCTTAGACTACGCAGAAAGTTTTGAAATTGATTTGAAGGCGATGCGAGCCGTGTGTGGCGCTGGCCAATCAGAAGCTGGGAAGAAAATCGTTGACGAAGAAACGTTTAGCCTTATATAAATACCAAATAAATACCAGATACTAGAAAAATATGCTAAGGCTGGCCATGCGGCATTCGGACTATAAACGTAACATGGTAACATTTTGGCGGTTATTCAAAAGCCCTAGGGAATAAAACAATTCATGAGATCGGTTAGAAAAAGATCGATTCATTGTTGGATTTGCTTACTATAATTACTTTAAAATAATTCGGATTAGATACCTGTAGCCTATCCCTAGCTTAGAAATTGATTTGAAGGCGATGCGAGCCGTGTGTGGCGCTGGCCAATCAGAAGCTGGGAAGAAGAAACGTTTAGCCTTATATAAATACCAAATAAATACCAGATACTAGAAAAATATGCTAAGGCTGGCCATGCGGCATTCGGACTATAAACGTAATATGGTAACATTTTGGCGGTTATTCAAAAGCCCTAGGGAATAAAACAATTAATGAGATCGGTTAGAAAAAGATCGAATCTTTTTTGGATTTGCTTACTATAATTACTTTAAAATAATTCGGATTAGATACCTGTAGCCTATACCTAGCTTAGAAATTGATTTGAAGGCGATGCGAGCCGTGTGTGGCGCTGGCCAATCAGAAGCTGGGAAGAAAATCGTTGACGAAGAAACGTTTAGCCTTATATAAATACCAAATAAATACCAGATACTAGAAAAATATGCTAAGGCTGGCCATGCGGCATTCGGACTATAAACGTAATATGGTAACATTTTGGCGGTTATTCAAAAGCCCTAGGGAATAAAACAATTAATGAGATCGGTTTGAAAAAGATCGATTCTTTTTTGGATTTGCCTATTATATTTACTTCAAAATAAATATCCCTAGACTCTACTGCACGGACGTAATTTTACAAATGGAATTTCGACTTTTTTCACCAAAAAGTTCAATAAAGATGTTCAAATTAGAGAGAGAAAGACGACAGTTTTTTTTTATACTATACGCATTATCTAACCACGGCTAATAGCTTATCAAAAGAACTTACGATATTTATTCCAAAAGATTTCGGCTCCTTGATACTTCCAAACACTGTACGAAAAACAAAGAGAGAAACCTTTTATCATATATAATAAATAAAGAACTAACTTCTCTTCGATACTTACCTTAAACTTATTCTTGACTGCCAACAAATTCGCTTCCTTCTTCTTGAAAACGCGTTAAAAGCAGAGAGTATTAAATGTAATATTTGGCAATTACTTTTGAGCACTTACATTTATATCTATATTGATTTATATTTTCCAAATATTGTATGCGGCCGCCTTTTCGCAATTTTCTTTATGCATTTTTTTATTAGATGCGTCGTCCCTTCGACAAACTGACTTGGGTGTAAGTACAGTTACGCACAACATTTTGAGATAATGAGCGTAGCTAAAAGTATGTAAACACTTACACGGATGTCAGTACAAACGGTATTTCAAAGATATTTTTGCCAATATTTTTCGATAGCCGCCTTTCGATGGGATCGATGGAAGAGCTCCCATATACTGTACCTGAATTAAACGAGATCATTTTTAAAATGCGTTTGCATGTTTTTGTACTAAAAGAACCCAACCTTTCTATATAGATATATAAATAATATCTATATATATATATATATAGATGTTGTATTTTCCTTTTGACCCAAATCAAAACTCTGGTACTAGATCCGAGAAATCTTTTCCTTCACGATCAATGCACTTTCCGATGGAAACAGAAGCAATATTATATATTTTTTGCACTTTGTATTAACAGTTATTAAAATTTTGTAGGTTAGGAACGTCAACACACTTACGTTTTATGCAGACTGTACTTTAAAGGTATTCCTCCCAACATTGGATATCTGTCTTCTGATGCGAGAACTGAATGAGAGTTAATTTATTTTTTGAAATTTCCTTCCTGCGAGCTGTATTTAAAGGCGGGGGCGTGAAAGAGATGGCATGTGTCTACAGTTATTAGCAATATTATTTGAGGTTATGAGATTATTGTGAACTTACTCTGAAGTCAAATAAAGATCGTATTGAAGGGACTTTTGCTGATTGTGTACTATACTTGCACTTGCCTGTTAGGGGCTAAATTTAAGGGTATCTATATGCATTTATATGTTGGGAATCGGGATCTAATGGATGCACTTTAACCAAACGCTATACGAAAACGAATACAAAAAGGAGGTTAACTTTAAAATGCGCCTTTCTTGAATTTACTTGTTTTAGACTTGAAACATTGGCAGATATTTAGAGACTGAATATTTTTCGCTACCCGATGTGCTTATGACAACTCGTATATAATTAATGGCTCGTCGCCTACTGTGCCTTTTTTTCGACTAAATATTCGACACACACACAACAGCTTGAGAGCAGAAAAGTCCCCGAAATTAGATATAGGATATAGATATAGGATATAGATATAGGATATAGACATCGGATATAGATATAGGATATAGATATAGGGTATAGATATAGGATATAGATATAGGATATAGATATAGGATATAGATATAGGATATAGATATTGGATATAGATATAGTATATAGATATAGGATATAGATATAGGATATAGATATAGGATAAAGATATAAGGTATAGATATAGGATATAGATATAGGATATAGATATTGGATATAGATATAGTATATAGATATAGGATATAGATATAGTATAAAGATATAGGATATAGATATAGGGTGTAGATATAGGATGTAGATATAGGGTATAGATATAGGATACAGATATAGGATATAGATATAGTATATAGATATAGGATATAGATATAGGATATAGATATTGGATATAGATATAGTATATAGACATCGGATATAGATATAGTATATAGATATAGGATATAGATATAGTATAAAGATATAGGATATAGATATAGGGTGTAGATATAGGATGTAGATATAGGGTATAGATATAGGATACAGATATAGGATATAGATATAGTATATAGATATAGGATATAGATATAGGATATAGATATTGGATATAGATATAGTATATAGATATAGGATATAGATATAGGATATAACTATAGGATATAGATATAAGGTATAGATATAGGATATAGATATAGGATATAGATATTGGATATAGATATAGTATATAGATATAGGATATAGATATAGGATATAGATATTGGATATAGATATAGTATATAGATATAGGATATAGATACAGGATATAGATATAGGATAAAGATATAAGGTATAGATATAGGATATAGATATAGGATATAGATATTGGATATAGATATAGTATATAGATATAGGATATAGATATAGGATATAGATATTGGATATAGATATAGTATATAGATATAGGATATAGATATAGGATATAGCTATAGGATATAGATATAAGGTATAGATATAGGATATAGATATAGGATATAGATATTGGATATAGATATAGGATACAGATATAGGATATAGATATAGGATATAGATATAAGATATAAATATAGCATATAGATATAGTATATAGATATAGGATATAGATATAGGATATAGATATAGGATATAGATATAAGGTATAGATATAGGATATAGATATAGGATATAGATATTGGATATAGATATAGTATATAGATATAGGATATAGATATAGGATATAGATATTGGATATAGATATAGTATATAGATATAGGATATAGATATAGGATATAGATATTGGATATAGATATAGCATATAGATATAGGATATAGATATAGGATATAGATATAGGATATAGATATAAGGTATAGATATAGGATATAGATATAGGATATAGATATTGGATATAGATATAGTATATAGATATAGGATATAGATATAGGATATAGATATTGGATATAGATATAGTATATAGATATAGTATATAGATATAGGATATAGATATAGGATACAGATATAGGATATAGATATAGGATATAGATATAGGATATAGACATAGGATATAGATTTAGGATATAGATATTGGACACGAAGCTTTGCTGTTTTGGGCTTTGGTGCCACATGCCGGCCACACAATCGGACAGTAATTAGTTGAAGTAATAAACACAGATTTCTAAGTGCATTAAATTGAATTACCCAATATTATCAAGGGACGCGAAACATTGGGGCTTGGACTGGACTGTATATAAGGTATATTATATTCAAGTAAGCAAGGACTATGAAAGCCAAGTGCAGCAAGCTTGGAATGTGGGTTCAGGAGTGTTATATGCAGTTAAAAAACAAGTAAGAGGTTCTAGTCCCGACTAGGGCATACCCTGAACCCTCTTCTTCCAACAGGCGATAGGTATAAAATGATAGATACTTGATATATACATATATACTATTCTAGAAGCTACATGTCGAGTTTGATGACTCTAGCTCATATTATTTTTTATCGATTACTTGGAAACGGGCCAAGTTATCGATTATCGGAAACAAACTCGATCTGCGCGGGCACTAGGAGGACCTACAGCTAAAATTGCAAGTCTCTAGCTCTTATAGGTTCCGAGATCCTTGCGTTCATACACACGGACAGACAGACGGACATGGCTAGATCGACTCGGCTGTTGATGCTGATCAAGAATATATATACTTTATGGGGTCGGAGATGCTTTCCTCTGCCTGTTACATACATTTGCACAAATACATAATACCCTTTTTACTCAATTTTCAATGGGTTCAGGGCATAATGAGTTACTTTTTGGATGCCTGCCAATCGTAACGCCCATAAGGCAGAAGAACTAATTCTTAAAGCTAGAGCCTTGCGCTTGGGTATATACAGACTTTTGCATGCCAAATGCAAGCTCTACAAATTTCATTCAGATCGGACTATAAAGACCGAAGTTCGGCAAGAACGGAGCACAGCTTGTGTGCGTGTGTGTGCGACTAGGCTAACCTCCCGGTTGAGTGGAAAGTGCATTAATGTTGGATTTCTCCAGGGTGCCGGGCCACAATCGATATGCAATCGAAATTCAATCGGAATATAAAGCGCCAGCTTTGGCTGCACTCCAGTTATTCGGCATGGAGCTGGCCGCTGGGCAATGGCTGCTGCTCGGACTGTGCCTGGTTGGCCGCGCGCTGACCTGGCCGGAACAGGAGCAGGAACAGGAGCAGGAGCAGAGAATCGTTGAGAGGTTGTCGCATGTGCTGCAGGCGATATTCAATGCGAACCTGAGCATCTCGGTGAGCAGCGTCTATCGCGAGGATCTGCCGTTGGCGCAACGTCGTCTCGTGGAGCGCGTCCTGGACCGCAGCTGGCCGCGGGCGGAACTGTTGCCCGCTGTGCTGGACAGGCAGCTGCAGCCGGAGCTCAGCCTGCGCGTCCAGCTGCTGCTGTTCTTTGTGCTGGACGCGACGCAGCTAATTAGCGCCGCCAACCGGAATCCGCGCGTCAGCGTTACCCACAAGTACAAGTATCTGATCGTGCTGCTGGCCAAGCCGGAGGCGGCGGCGGCGTCGGTCGCCTGGCAGCGGACGCAAATGCGCCACATCTTTGGCTATCTGCTGCGGCAGCGCTACAATGTCGATGTGCTGCTGCTGCTGGCGGAGCTGACAACGGGCGGCAACGTCACCAGCTACAGCTATGCGCCGTATGCGGCGGCGCCGCAACGTTGCGACTCGACGGAGCCGCTGGCATGGCCGCTGCATCAGGCGCAGGCGCGGCGGCGGCGGCTGGAGCAACTGTATCCGGGCGATAAGCTGGCCAATTTGCACGGCTGTCCGCTGCGCGTCATTGTCTGGCAAATCCAGCCGTATATGCAGCTGCATCCGGACGGACGCATCTCCGGCCTGGATGCGGAGATACTGCAGCTGCTCGCCGTGCGGCTCAACTTCAGTTTGGCTCTGGTGGCCAATGAGCCGCCGGAGCTGATTGGCGGCGCCAGCTATATGAACGGCAGCATGACCGGCGCCTTTCGCATGCTCCGCGAGCGTCGGGCCAATCTGACGCTGGGCTTCACCGCCTGCCTGGCGGCACGCTATAAGTTTTTGGCCAGCACGCTGCCATACGGCCAGGTGGAATATGTTCTCGTGTTGCGCCGAGCACGGCCGTTTAGCCTGTACGAGATTATGCTGTTGCCGTTCGATCGCTCGGTCTGGCTGCTGTTGTTCGTGCTGGCTGCAGTGCGTCCGTTGTGCCGGCGGCTGCCGTCGCAGCTGCAGCTGGCCTGGCTGCTCTTCCTCTTTCTGCTGCGATTGAGCTACGAGAGCTGCGTGTTCGTGCTGGTGCACAATGCACCGCGACGCCCGCTGCCGGACAGCCTGGAGCAGGCTTTGCAGCTGGACTATGGCTTCATTGTGGACCATGCCACGTTTAGGATGACGGAGCTGCTGCCGGTGCTGAAGGCGCGCACCAGCATTTTGCCCGGCCAGCCGGTGGACATGTTCGAACAGCTGCTGGCCCAGCCGCCGGAGAGGCGGATCGCCGCCATCAGTACGCCGCATTTTCTGGCCCACTATCTGAGCGGGCGGCGCGACCAGCAGCCGCTCTTTGTCCTCGCCAGCCGCAAGATCATGGACAACATGGCCTGTGTGCACTTTCCGCTCGGCTCCTATCTGACCGCCACCGTCGATCGGATGCTCTTCTATATGCGCAGCTCCGGCATCAATCAGCATATCGCCAATCGCCTTACAACCATCTTGGCCCGACTACGTCATGGGCGTGCCACCGCCTCCATATCGAGGGAACATGCGACACGGTATAAGGAGTCCATGCGTTTCATCTATGCCGCTCTCAATTGCCTGCTGATCGGCGAATCCATCACGCTCGTCATATTCGCCTTGGAGCTGCTCAGCCTGCGTCTGCCCTGGCTCGCCAGGCTCCTCCAGCGTCTCTGATCAGCTGGGATTCCTATTAAAATATTGAATATATATTTATCAATGTAAAATATTAAATATATAGTTACCAGCTGCTATTGCCCGGCCTTGTCCGGCGCAAGTCTCTTGCTTCAAATGTTTAGAAAACGATTTTCCACCCTTTTTCCGCACGTGAAAATGGCTATAGATCTTTCAAAATTAATTTGAACTTGAACGAATTAGAACTAAAAGTTATATCATTGGTAAAAAAAAAGGGTCAAAAGGAGACTAGCCTCGTGAAAATCGGATGAGATTCGACCCAGTTATTGGGGTGGGAAATTATAACCTGTATGGGGAAATTCGACCAGGAATAAGATACTCAGATTTGGATGCCAAATTGATCTAGAAGTCAAACCATGAACAAAAAGCCAAACCTTATGAAAATCGAATGAAATTTGACCAAGATATGAGGGTGGGAAATTTTAACCTGACTAACTATGGGATATTTGTGGGTTATTTGAGGGTACCATTTCCACATGAATTTCGACCAGGAATAAGATACTCAGATTTGGATGCCAAATTGATCTAGAAGTCAAACCATGTACAAAAAGCCGAACCTTATGAAAATTGGATGAAATTTGATCGAGTTATGGGGTTGGGAAATTTTAACCTGTGTCTATATGGGATATTTGTGGCTTATTTGAGGGTACCATTTCCACATGAATTTCGACCAGGAATAAGGTACCCAGATTTAGACGCCCATTTTTTAAAGAGGTCAAACAATGAACAAAAATCCAAAGTTTATGAAAATCGAATGAGATTTGATCGAGTTATGGGGTTGGGAAATTTTGACCCATGTCTTAATTGGATATTTGAGGGTACCATTTCCATATCTTAATAGACAATACAGTTTTTCATACAACAACTTAATTTTCGACCGATCGTTCCTATGGCAGCTATATGATATAGTAATCCGATGTAAATAAATGTAGGGAACATAATGAAACTTACAATTGGCGAGTTTTCTCAGGAGATCTTGAAAAGCAAAAAAGTTTTCCATATAACAACTCCACGAAAAGTTTTTTTTTTCGATTTTACCAATTAGTGTAAAGTATTCGTAGTCCGAATTCACGACTATTTCAATTCTTTAAAAATCATACCGAAGAATTCAAATATAACATTTAATCTTATAAGCAAACGTATAAGTAAACCGATTTATATACTACTTTATTTTAGTGCAAAAAAAAATGTTTCTCACATCGAACGCATTTAAAGATATAAACATAAAGCTCAACAATATGCTTTAAATATATATATATATGTTACAGATTTTTTCGAATATTATTATATTATTTTTCAAATATTATTTATATATATTTTACTGAAATACAGCGCATTAAGCCTTCAAGTAGATATTTCTTATAATAATATGATAAATATTATTGTCTATATTATATATATTCTATATTAGAATAATATTATTATAATTGCAAAGCCAAAAAAACATTTGTTGCAGGTTTCTACAGCTACTGGAGGCTATATAAGTCAAAAAGAAATAATAATTAAGAGTTAGTTAGATATCTTAAAAAACATAAAATAATTTATACAAATCAATCAAACTTCGACCAAGATTTAGCTCACAAGCAAAAGTTATACTGACGATCGCGAGTTTGGATAAAATATTTTAAATAACATATAAGTTTTCTTATAGAACACAATTTTATAAAAGATTTTGCCCATGCACTTATATGGAATAGATATTATATTTTAAGGTAAGGCTCAAATTTCAGCTGGGCATTGCTTGGTTTAAGATATCTTGAAAAACAATAAAAAGCTGTTTTACACAAAAGCCTCTTCTCGCGATTTGCTATGCATATTATAAGAGAGACAAATTATCTGTTGTTACTGAACAAGAATATATACACTTGATGGGTTCAAAGATGCCCACAGCAAGTGTTTACAAATGTTGTATAGAAGCTTATGTGGATAAGGGCAAAGCGAGCCAGAATAGCTGGGCAATAAATGTGTTTAAGTTACAAAGTAGTTAACATAATAAAGGGGTTTTCTCAATCGATTGGATTGATGTCGCTTTAGACCACATAACGATTGGCCGCATTCATGAGCCGCCGGAGACGTGGTCGCTGTGGCTGGGCGGCGCGCAGTTCGAGCACGAACACGATGCTGGCGAACAGATGCATTAGCCCCAAGCTGGCGAAGAGGCCGGCGAGCAGCCAGAGGGTTAGTTTGATTGGATCACGGTTGCGCTGGGCGGCCATATGCTCGATCCGGTCGAGGTACATGCGACGATAGCGATGCACCAGGCCGGAGGACATCATGTTGATCAGCAGCTTGTTGATGCGCTGCTTCAGATACGAATGTGGACGCATGTAGAGCGCCAGCGGTGCGGTGAGCAGGGGATAGGGCAGCACAGTGAGACGCTGCTTTTCGGGACCGGAGTCCATATCGAATCTGGCTACGGTCGGCTGCAGCACCGGCACCACAAATTGCGCCTCGCTGTCATCGCGCAGCTGGCGAAGCGAATCCTCCAGACCGGACACCACCACGATACGCTGACGGGGCACCGTGTCCTTGAACACCGGCTGCAGTGCGGGCAGCATATTGAACGCATACTTCCTCTCCAGCACCTCGGACAGCGAACGCAACGGTGTACGCACCCGCCCATCCTGCAGCAGTATGTACAGCTCGCCGGTGTAGGCGGCACGCAGCACCAGTGTCTGGAGCAGCCACATTGCGAGCAAATATCGGGCGAAATTGCGACGCGGCGGATGCAAATGCAGGCCGCCGAGCAGTGTGCTCCACAGCTCTGTGCCGGGCAGCCGATTGTTCTCGCCAAGCACAAAGCGACGCAATCGCGGCCCGCCGAGCAACTGCAGCCAGGCGATCAGACAAAAGCCCAGCAGCACGCACATCAACAGGCACAGCCAGGTGATGTAGCCCAGCGGCTTGGTCAGGCGCTGCAGCGGCGACAGCGGATAGCCGCCGGGTATGCAGAGCACTATCGGGAAGCTGGTGTACGAGATGCTCGGCAGCATATACGTGGCGCGCTCCATGTTGTACATAAACGAGACAAAGGTTATGTTCGCCACGCCGTCAACGATCTGCAAGGAGAGCATGCGGTTAAGGTGAATCAGTTCCAAAGTTTGCCTGCCTCAAGCTGAAGATTGACTCACCATTTTCATGGCGCCCGTTATGGTGCCATTGGGAAGGAGTTCACCTCGATCACTATTTGGCTCCTTTACGATTTTGATGCCAAAGTTCATGCGCTCCGCCAGCAGGCGATAGATCATGCCCTCGATGCCATATATGCGCTGGTCATCGGGCTGGCTGGAATCGTCATTGATCATGACAAAGGGGCGACTCTCAAATGTGGCGGTGACCAGCTGACAGCCATGCATGTCATGCACCTTGGCGTCAAAGAATTGATCGCTGTTCTCCACATGGATTATTGGCGGTGCACCAAGGCCGCCCTGGAAGGTGGCATAGTGCACCGGCTCCGATGACTGACAGCGATGCGGACGATATGGATAATAATTGTAGACCCGGACGGTGCCCGTTTGACGACCCACCAGCAGCACATTCACGTTGATCACATAGATGGCGAGCAGACGTTTAAAGATTTCGCCAATTGTGCGCAGACGTCCGGTCTCCCTGCCCGTGTACACAATGCAATAGAAGCCGTTGCGCTTAAAGAAGCTGCCCGGCTGCAGCAGATGCCGCTCCAGACGCATATAGGCGCGCCAGCTGTCCAGCAGCAATATGGCAATATCGCGGCCCACAAAGCCGCTGGCCAGGCCAGTGTGCGCTGTGCCCGCCGGCGGCTCGTCGTCGCCATCGATGCGCTCGTGCTCCAACAGAAACTTGATGCGACCGGCACCAGATGCCAAACGCAGCACAGAATCAATCAGATCGTTGTGGAGAGCGCGACTTGAGTCGCGCGTGGCAAAGTGCATAATGGACAACGGTTTGCTCGAGTCGCTCGCATAGTGACTGTTAATCGTCCAGACGACGGCATACATTAGTGTTATGTTATAAATCGCCTGCACCGACGCGCTGGACAACATGTTGAGGGCAAGTGAAGAGTCGTCCAGTAACTGCTGTGCGCGCGGCGGCAATTGCTGAAGCTTTTAGTGCTTGCATGTGAGCTTGCAGCTTATCGCAGCTCGTTATCTGGCAAATTGTATTTAAATGGATGCGCCATCAGTTAACAAGTCGTTCGTCACATTGCCTGCCGCATGCCACATGCCACATGCTACATCTGCAAAAAAAAAAAAAAAAAAAAACCAATCTTTATATACTTAAACCGTTTACTTTATAAATCGAGTTAATTTTGCAAACGGCTCGTTGGTTTTGAACTGCCGCTGCCAGTGTGACCAACATCCGTTTTTGCTAGCTTTAACCAAATTTGTTAGCAGAAGTGACCACAAGAAGATGGACAGACATGGATGTGAGTAATTGGTTGCCACGCGGCGCTTGCCAGATCTGTATAAAAAATATTTGAGAACACAACTGTTCAAATATGTTGATTTTGCGAACTGCTCGTTAACTTTGAATTGCGGCTGCCGGTGTGGCCCCTATGTTTGTGTGTTCGCCTGTTTTCACAGCATTCGCAAGTCAGTGTGACCCCAAAATGCAGCGCAATAAATGGCGAATAAGCATTTTAATTGTTTTAGGTTTTTGCTTTTTATCTTGAAATGAGTAATTGGCAACGAAATTGCAACAGATGCAGCAACAGCTCGTGTCGCAACACAATTTACAGATCGCTGACCGTATTTTATGTGTTCATTTACAATACAAACAACTATTTGCTAAATTTTTTTGATGACCTAAGCAGCCACCCGCAAATTAATAAAAAAAAAAAAAAATAAATAAAAATATATGATAATACATGTTCCTACATATTTTTTGTAATATTTTATTCTTATTTTGTACCACAGTCGACGTTGGAGTTAAAAGTCCATTGCAGAGCTTAGCTCAGCATTGATGCACCTCGCTGGCTTCGGCGCGGTGACACACATTCGCGACAAGGCGGTCTACGCTGCGAGAATTTTTTGGTCACTAAAAATGGCAGACACTCATTTATTGGAGATGGACCACGAATACCCCAATCACGATAATGTGCATAGAAATAAAATATTTTAATTATTAAAACATATATTACAGTATATAAAGTGTATGTATATTGCTAATAAGCTGAAGGCAATTAAATGTATTGTTATTGTCTTTATTTATGTTTGATTTAGTGAATAGGTACGTTTAAGAAGACGTACATGAACTTAAACCAAAAACAATCATATGTTCAAAATAACAAACAAGAACTCAAAAACATATTGTTACTAAAGTCACGTTAATAATTTCATTTTAAGCGGTCTAATAACATCGATAACGAGTAAAAATACTAATAACTCATACTTAAGGGAATATTTGAAAATATGAGTATGTTAATTGTTTTTTCGTGCTTCTTGGGGGCCCCCAACTGTCATCTCTATGGACAATTTGATATGAGCACGTAGCGGCTGCTGTTCAAAATAAAAATGTAATATGTAGGGTCACACTTTTGGAAACGGTTAAAAGACACAAGAGACAAAGCGGAAAAGAAGTCGTGCTTAGCTTCCGGATTGTCGCGAATCGTAGACAAAACAATTCCAAAACGCAGATAAGACGAAAGAATTGGCAACTATGTGGAACTGTGGATTTGTTTTCAGTGCAACATTTTGCACTGATTCCATGAAAAATTGCTCATCAGCAAATTGTTAAGTCAAGGTTTTTTTTGTTCTTGTTTTTATGTATGTATGTATTTATTGTGCTGCGGCGGCTGCTGCAGCAGCTGCAGTCTCCATTGGGTATTTCTTTAATTTCTTTTACTTTTACTGACCGAACCCATCGGAAAAGGGTAAAATATGGGTAGCTTTGTTATTTGCAAATGGGCGAGGCATCTGGGATCCCTTAAAGCTGATTCGATCTGGTGATGTCTGCCTGCCAGTAAAGACACACTTAAGCTCTTGTTAACCATACCCAGTTTTTTTAAAGTTAAGTTTATATTAAAATATTGATAACAGCGTTTCTTAAAACGATTCAAACGATTTGGCATGTATCCAGATTATATGGCGACATTTGGTATGTTTTCTCGTTAAGTAAAGTAGAAATAGATATCATATAATCGCAAATCGCATTGTATTTATACAATAAATAACAATTTCTATTAAGCTTTTTGCCTAAACAAATATTAAATTATCCTGCTATTTCCTGCTACACTTTTTATTAGTATTTAAATTTTATAAAGCACAATAATATGGAACGGTATTTTTTTTTTGTATATTTAATTTATGTTATATGTATACACTGAAAATACGTTGACAATTGGAAAACGAATGCGGCGGCTATTTCATATTGAGAGAAAAAATTAGCACATAGACTAGCTAAAGTGTCGCTGATTATAGGGTATTTACCAGTCGATCAGTCTCAACACGAGCACTTTTGGTTGCTGTTAGTTGGCTTTTTGTGGCGCACACACACGGAAACGAAATTGAAATGCAATGTCAATTTTTGGTGTCACCAAGGCAGGGCGTTGCGGGACGGGGCGTGGCCGCATCAACTCGCAGTGCGTGCAAATTGCAGCGCAGCTCTTTGGCACGATTCGGCGGCGTCGACACTTTTTGGCCGCCGCCAACGCTGGCAGAGTTCTATATGGGCCAGAGTCGGAGCGCTTGGAGCGTCAGTCGCCGTTCGACGCTCAACAAACGGCTAGTTCCAGCAAAAGCGCTCTGAAAAGCGATACAGAGTATATACGATATTAAGGATGAGATTGATTTGTGTAACGCTGCTGCTGCTTGGCGGCGCACTGTGCAGCGCCCAGGATGCGTCGGCGGGTGCCAGCGTTGTCAGCGGCGCGGAGGCAGCTGCCGCCGTGGATAGCCTAACGCCTAACGGCAATGCCAATGACACCGCCGAGGAGAAGCCGCGCATACCCAGCCAGGAAGAGGTGAGCATCAATAGCGGCGACCTAAGCCAGCGACAAAAGCTAATCCTTTGCAACTCTTTCATCTACGACCGCAGTTACTCGCCCAGATGCCGCCCCTGCAGCCCCTAAACAGTGGAATACCCTCTCTGGATGCGTTCTATATGATGTTCCCGGCGCTGAGCAGCCTCCTGCGCTGGGGCAGCCTCTTTCCGGCACAGTCGCTGCTAGGCGCCGTGCCGGACACACTGCAGCCGGCCGCCTCGAAGGTGGTGCTCGTGCTGGCGGACGAAGCCAATGGACACAAGTCGCGTGTAACGCGTCAGGATGCAACCGCACAACCGGCGCCAGCTCCGGCGGCACCAACAGCGATGAACGGAGCCGCGATGCTGCAGCAAATGCAGCAGATGCTTGGCCAGATGCCGCCTCCAAATCTAGGCCAGATGATGCCTCCAAATCTAGGCCAGATGATGCCACAAGTGCCCGCCGGCTGGCTGCCGGATGGCTTTACGCTAGGCCAAATGCCGCCGCTGCCGGATAACTTTAATCTGGGTCAAATGCCACCAATGCCGGATGGCTTCAATCTTGGCCAAATGGCGCCCGTTATGGCCAACTTTGGCCTGCGTCCGCTGGAGGGTCTGCTCGGCCAGGCGCCAGTCGCGCCCGCCACCACAGCTGCGCCGCCGGCAGCCAAGCCGGCGAGCGAGTCGGAGCCGGCGCCAGCGCCAGCGGTGGGTCAGGCGCCACCAGCAGCAGGAGCCGGAGGATTTGGCGCTCTCTTCGATGGCGGCAGCAATCTGCTGGGCCAAGCCTTCAGTGGCATGCCCGCAGCGCCCACGCCGGACGCCTTCATGGCTGGCCTGCGCCAGTTCTGGCCGGGCGCAGCGCCGCCCACGGGCGACAGAAGCGCCCAGGCCTCGGAAATATCGGAGGTGCGCGTCAAGCCGGATAACCAGGACACGATCGGTTATCGGGCGCCACAGCAGGCGCACGCACAGATGGCCCAAATGAAGATCAAGTCCGCGCTGCAGCTGGAGCAGGAGAAGCAGCGCGTGCCGCTGCTCTGGTTCCGCATGCCCACCTCCGAAACGCAACAGTCCAAGTCCACGGAACGTGTCCAGATCGAGTCCAAGCTGCAGGCCTTCGAGCAGCAGGTAATCGCCGAGCTGCAACAGCTCCAGCAGATCGAGCGCCTGGCGCGGGAGATGCGCGCAAATGCCCAGGGTGAAACGCCCGCATACAAGCTGCGCTATCCGCTGAGCCGCACGCCCGTCCACAAGATCACCCGGGCGGACATTGAGCGCGCTTTGCGCGACGACTATGTGCGCCGCCTGCTGCAGAAGGAGGCGCAGCGCAAGACGAACTTCAAGCGACAGACGCAGCCGGAGCAGCTGCTCACCAAGGAGGACATCGTCAAGGTCATGGCCTATGCCTATCGCATGGCCAACGAAAATGCCGAACGGAAGGCCAAGGAGGACAAGTTCTATGCGGCCTACCGAGCCGCCGAGACAGCGGAGCCAGCGGAGCGACAGCAACAGCAATGGGAGCTCCAGCAGCAGCGTCAGTGGACGGAGGATCAGGCTAAGGCGCAGCAGCAGGCAAAGGATCAGCAGAATGACATGATGATGCGCCAGGCCAAGGCGCAGCAGGAGATGATGCAACAGCAGCCGAATCCCATGATGATGCGCCAGTGGACGGAGGAACAGATCAAGGCCCATCAGCAGGCAAGGGATCGACAGAATTCCATGATGATGCGTCAGTGGACGGAGGAGCAGGCCAAGGCGCAACAGCAGAACACCATGATGATGCAGCAGCAGCAGCAGAATCCCATGATGATGCGTCAGTGGACGGAGGAGCAGGCCAAAGCACAGCAACAGCAGGCAAAGGAACAGCAAATGCGTCAGTGGACGGAAGATCAGGCCAAGACACAGCAGCAGGCCCAGGAGCAGCAACGCCAGTGGACGGAAGATCATGCCAAGACACAGCAACAGGCAAACGAGCAGCAGAAGCCCATGATGATGATGCGCCAGTGGACAGAGGAACAGGCCAAGGCACAGCAACGGGCGGAGGATCAGGCCAATGCACAGCAAGCGATGCAGCAACAGAATCCCATGATGATGATGCGTCAGTGGACAGAGGATCAGACCAAGGCACAGCGGGATCCACAACAGTTTCAGCAGCAGCAGATGCCCATGATGATCCAGCAACAGAATCCCATGATGATGCGCCAATGGACAGAGGATCAGGTCAAAGCTCAGCAGGCAAAGGCCCAGCAAGAGATGCAGCAGCGTCAATGGACAGAGGAACAGGCCAAGGCGCAGCAGCCGCAACAGATGTCCGAGAAATCCATGGAACAGGCAGCCGAACGCCAGTGGGCGGATGAGAAGATGCGGGCCATGCAACAGCAACAGCAGCAGCAACAGCAGGAGCAGCAGCAGGAGCCGCAACAGAACATGGAGCAGCCGGATGAGGAGTCGGTGCTGGGCGAGGCCAAGCCGCAGATGCCCGAAAATGCTGGCCAGGCACGGCACAAAGGTAATCTCTATGGTGTATTCCGCAGTACCGATCCTAATCTCTTGCCGCAAACAGTGGACGCGCTTGGCCTCGGCGGCGATCATCGCAGGAAATCCAAATCCCATTCGTCGCCCACCATCATCAACTACTACCACAGTGCGCCGGCGGCCAGTTACGGCCAGGGCTACGGCCAGGGCTACGGCCAGAGCTACGGCCAGGGCTACAGCCAGAGCCACGGCCAGGGCTACGGCCAGAGCTACGGCCAGAACTCCGCCCAGACCTATGGCCAGAGCTCTGGACAGGGCTATGGCCAGAGCTCTGGACAGGGCTATAGGCCCAGCTATGGCACCAGCTACGGCGGCGGCGGCCAAGGCTCCAATGCATATGGCGGCTATCGTGCGGCCATTGGCAACGACGAGATCGACTCCATGCTGCAACAGCATCAGGTCATGGCGGTAAGTTAAGCCAAACCAAAAACAATCTATAGATGGAAAACATGGAACCAGCCTTTAAATCAATCAATATCAGCTCCGAACCCATAAGGAAGTCGATAAAGTCAAGGGCTTAGCTATATAACAGGCAGAAGAGAAAACCCATCTAGCCTTGTCCGTCTGTCCGCCTTTCAGACAGACTGGAAGACAGACTGGAAGACAGACTTGAAGACAGACTGCAAGACAGACCGAAAGACAGACTGGAAGACAGACTGGAAGACAGACTTACAGTCAGACTGGAAGACAGACTGGAAGACAGACTGAAAGACAGACTGGAAGACAGACTGGAAGACAGACTGGAAGACAGACTGAAAGACAGACTGAAAGACAGACTGGAAGACAGACTGGAAGACAGACTGAAAGACAGACTGACAGTCAGACTGGAAGACAGACTGGAAGACAGACTGAAAGACAGACTGGAAGACAGACTGGAAGACAGACTGAAAGACAGACTGGAAGACAGACTGGAAGACAGACTGGACGGCAGACTGGAAGATAGACTGGAAGACAGACTGGAAGACAGACTGGAAGGCTGACTTGGAGACAGACTGAAAGACAGACTGGAAGACAGACTGGAAGACAGACTGAAGGACAGACTGGATGACAGACTGGAAGATAAACTCGAAGACAGACTTGAAGACAGACTGGAAGACAGACTGGAAGAGACTGAAAGACAGACTGGAAGACAGACTGGAAGATAGCCTGGATGACAAACTAGATGACAGACTGGAAGATAGACTGAAAGACAGACTGGAAGACAGACTTGAAGACAGACTTGAAGACCGACTGGAAGACAGACTTAAAGACAGACTGGGAGACAGACTGGAAGACAGACTGGACGACAGACTGACAATTAGACTGGCAAACATTGCTTTTCAAGCATAACTCGATGAATTCAAGAGCCAGATACACAAAGGATTGCTTGTAGATCAGCGTATAATGTACGCATATTATAAATAATTAATTTTTGGAATAGCTTTCCCTCGTACCCACCATAAAATGAAAAAGAAGCTAAAGCTTTGCGCTTTGGTATGCACATACTTTACCATGTCATATTTGAGCTTTGGAAATTTGATGAAGATCGGACCATAAATACCGAAGTTAATCAAGATCAAATTTCTCGTGCATAGTTTGGTGACAAAGGGAAGAAGAAGCATAGCCGCTGCTCAAGCTGCGCTGTAACGGAAATTGAGTCCAGGGTATCTGCTAGTCGGGCACTTCCGATTAGAAAACTTTTACTTGCTTTTAAATTGTCCAGTTCCATCTATATATTGTGTATATATTCGGTTAAGACAAACCACGCACACTCACACACATGCGCACACACACACACACAGCCACACACATACCACACCCACACACACACATACCACACACAGCCACACACACACATACCACACACAGCCACACACACACACACCCAAGTAGCTGGCTCCATATCATTCACATTTTTGCATCTTCTCCTCGCCCGCTGTTCCTCATGTCATTAACAGGCGACGCATTTCAGACAATAAAACCCTACAACAACAACAACGACAACAACAAGGATGAGCAGCTGACCAGCGGGAACAGCAGCTCCTCCGCATCCCCAGACCCGTCCTCGTCCAGCAGTCATCACATTGAGAAAAGGTTAGCAAATTTTTGTAGCAAATCCTCGCCAGCATTGCGACCTGGCAGCTGCAGCTGCGGCAGCGCTAACTGCGCCTGCGGCAGCAGCTGCCGTTGCGCCGCTGCCCGAGCTCAATCCCAGGGCCAATCCCAGGGCAAATCCCAGGGCCAATGTCCGTGCCAGCGGGCTGAGCAGGCTGGCCGGCGCAGACGCAGCGCGGAATATGGCACGCTGGAGACCATTGACGAGGGCTCGCTGAATGCGCTGAGGAAGGAGTATAAGCTGGGCCTGAAGGAGATCACGCTCAGTCCGGACGAGGATCCGGCCGAGGCGCTGATGCGCTACAATGCGGCATCCATACGCGAGGCGCTCGAGCGTGCCAGCCAGGAGCCGCTGGAGATCAACGGCGATCAGCTGACCTCGGGCGAAATGGCCGCCCACCAGGAGGAGGAGCTGGAGTATGCCACCGAGCCGCCGTTGGTGACAAGCACCTCCGCAGCTCCGGCCATTGTCAGCAGCAGCACGGAGCGTGCCCAGCAGGATGGGCCCAGCAGCGAACGGGCTGCGATAACCGCAGAGCTGGCCGCGACGCGCGCCGAATTCAAGCAGCTGTACGGCCTAATCGAGAGCCTCAAGGAGCAGCTGACCAAGGCGGAGCAGCGGCTGCGGGATTGCAGGCAGCCCGAGACAGCCACAACGAGCAGCAGCAGCAGCAGCAGCACGAGTACGAGCACGAGCACGAGCACGACCACGAGCACGAGCACGACTGAGGCGCCGGTGCCCTGGGCGCATCTGCTGGCCAGCAAAGGCTACGATACCAACTATCTGTCCAAGTCGCACGAGCACCAGTATGCCCAGGGCGGGCAGCTGGACATGCCCAAGCCGGAGTCAACGGGCTCCGGTGATTATAGCTACCAGGAGCTGCAGCCCTACGAGCCGGACAATAAGCCCAAGCGCGCCACGGATGTCAATATCAGCACCACGTCGACGTCGACGACGACGACGGAGCATTCGACTGCGGCGCTGCAGCAGGCGCAGCAGCTAAATGCGGCGCTCCACAGCAATGCCATAGCTGATAATGGAGCAGCAGCAGCAGCCGCCGGCGGCGATGATGTGGGCAACACGAGCACCAGCACGGCCACGCCGTATGCGCTGCGTGGTAAATTTGTGCGCAGGCGGAGCACCGCCAGGCTGGGATTGCGGACGACGCGCCAAGCGAAGGTAACGAAGGCATCCAGCGAGAATGCGGAGCTGTCGTTGTTGCGTGCGCGCAGCACGAAGCTTGATCAACTGATCGATGTCTTACACGAACTCCTACGTTTGCAGCTCCAGCGGGAAAATGCGCTCGCCAAGATAACCAGCTCCAGCTCCAGCGTTAGCTCCACCCGGCGTCCCAGCAAAGCCTCGAACCGTTTGCGCCGGCGACGTAAGCAGCGTCCGAGCAGCAGCCCCAAAAACATAAATTCATCTATTTAAATCAACAACAAAAATTTACCATTAACTTTAACATTAACTTTAACATTAACTTTACCATTAACTTTAACATGAACATAACTAATGTTGCCTCATTCATGCTATTCACTTTCATTGCATATGTTGACATCAAATCAGTCAGTCATCAGCAACCGCACCCGCATCAGCATCAGCATCTGCATCAGCATCCACATCAGCATCAACATCCGCATCTGCATCCGCATCCATATCCGAAGTCGACGACGCCAACGTGGGCGCTCCGCTTGGCTTGAAAGAGGGCCTGCTGCGGCCCTATATGGGCCTCCTGCCGCTCGAGCAGCCGAACGATCCCTGGACACAGAAGGCCTATAATCCGCATTATCCATTGTATAGCGGCGGCGGCAGCTATGAAACGTATCTGAGGCCACGCCGCGACACGCACATTATGGCTCGCAGCCAGCCGCTGCTGACGCCCGGCATGCTGGAGCGCCTGCTGCGCATCAAGGCGGAGTTCCAGCGACGCTTTCCCCATCTCTACCAGGGCATGCTCAATCATCATACGAATCAGACGCGTGTCGTCGTTAAGCCGCCGCTGCTGGTGCGTCTGTCCAGCAACAGGGCGAGGTATAGCGACAAGCCGCTCCTGGAGCTGGGCGCCGCCGAACGCGGCCTCTTTGACGAGGAGGCGGAGGCGGAGGAGGAGGAGGAAGCCAGTGCCGAGCAGCCGACCACCGAGAAAAATGAGTCAAGCGAGCTTTTCGATAAAAAGGATGACCTTGTTGGCGATTTCGACTACTTTCACTTCGAGGATAACGATGATAATGATAACGATAACGATAACGATAACGATACTGATATTATTGACGATTAGATAAAGGTTAGTTTAATTATGTAAATCCCCTTGAACAGAATCACTAAAAATGTATAAAAGAAAACCGTTGCGTTTCAATAATTTTTATCGATATATATATATATATATATCGATAGGCATTGTCCCTAGTACTTAGAGATGAGAAATTAGCACAGGGTTGTGATTGGCGGGAGTGAAGTTTTGACTGATTGATGGCCTATTTGTATACAAGATTTTCGGAATAACTACCAACTGGGTATAATGAATTGTCCGATCGACTTATATCAAATATATATACTATATGGCACACAATATGCCGCATGATTTGCAACTGACAGCCGTTGGGTTTGTCTTGTTCTTGACTTGGGTCCAAACCTCACACGCACCCCGGGGAAATCTGTTTAATGCGTGCTTAATAAGCATATTGGTGTGTAACAATCCGAATACCTGATATCCCATATTCAATACCCTAGAGTCTCGGCCTCTCCATTTGCCTGAGTCAATTAATGAGCGGCTGTCGTTAAATTTGAACTCTGCAAGAAAAAGTGTGCACCTATTGACGAAAATTGTCTAAAATGTGCCAGCGATAACAATCGATATTTGATATTAAATAATACCAAAAATACCAGCACGGCACTTAGATCGAGAGAGAAGGCGGCAATAAGCCGAAGGATACTTATTCAATTATTAAAATGTAATAGCCACATATTACTTTTATTTATTTAGCTCCTCGGCGAATCGACTGCGTTTCATTTTAAATAGTTGCAACATTTAAGGGAAATAAATATCACGTGCATTTAATTTTGTTAAATGCTCGCTTTATCGAAAGCTCAATCGATAGATTCGCAATCGATGAGAAAATACACCGAATAAGAAACCGTTAAGATTCGAATATATGGAAGAAAGTTCTCTTTTACGCATTAGGTTGAAATTCTTTTGGATATGTATTTTATAAATATGTTATGCATTTGGTAAAAATGGTTAAATGGAAAAAGAAGAAAATCAATTAAGCTGAAATGGAGTTGTGTGTAGGAGGATCGGGAATAGCTGATTGTAGATTTTAGAACCAGTTCAGCTGATGGCAATGCGAAGTGCTGGCAGAGCGGGTGAGCGAGCGGTTGCGGGCTGAGGTCTCCCTTAACCAGCCATGCAGGAACCAGTGATTGAATAAACTGTCAGCTGGAGGCGGGTCCGTTGAGAAGGTCGGCATGTGGGCCAGGTCCAGCTGGAAACGGGGCTCCTGGTTTGGTCGGAGCTCGCGGTACACAGCGATGGGCTGCTCCTCGCCCGGCATTGACCAGAGCGAGAGGGGCTCGAACCACTCTCTGTACAAGGGATACTCCGGACTTGCGGGCCTGTCGGGGTCATCTTCCGAGTCCAGCTCAAACATATCCTCCCCAATAATGGGGCATACCCAGTAGACGGCGGTTGGGTCCTGGGCATATGCTGGCTGCTTCTTCTGCTGCTCTTCAGCTGGCGAATCGGACGGCGAGGCCAAGCCCTTGCCCTTGCTTGGAGCCGCTCCTCCAGCGCCATTACGAGTGCAGAGCGTACAGGAGGCTGGCACAGTTGGGGGCAGGAGTTGCTCCTCATCGTTGGGGCCAGCTGCACATCGGAAAGGCGCGAACAGCTGATGACCATTGCGACCGGGTTCATTGTGGTACCGGACATACGCGGCACAGTCCCTTTGCCCGGCCAGGAGCGACGCCAGCTGTGTGCGCTGAGCCAGGCTGAGATTGTGGTCGGAGGGCAGGAAATAGGTGTCCGGTATGTCGGCACGGACGCTGAGGTCGTCGAGGCGCAGGATGTCGCGACGCGCCTCGTAGATCTTGGAGGTGAACTTCTCCAGGCCCTTGATGATAACCGTGCGTTGGCGCTGGTTCTGGAGCAGCACAATGTGGCAGCCGTACCTGATGTTGAGCTCCATGAGTTGGCAGGCGAGGAACTGGTGACTCGAGGCGTAGTCGAATTTTAGAGTGACCGGCAAGTTGCCGAGAAGCAGCTGACGTGCTCGGTAGACGTTATCGATGCTCCCCGAGATGGCCACGTGGGAGGCGTCGCTGGGATTCAGCTGCGGGCAGCACAGCTCGGGCAACGTAATCCTCGTCTGCGTGTACGCCATGATGCTCTTCAGGTTGCGGTCGTGGATACCCCTGATGACCAGGTGGTGCTGCGAGGTTATCTCCATGTACAGCTTCACGGTCGCATCGCGGCCAGCGCTCGACCAGGTGAAGTTCATCAGCAGCTGCGTGGCGTCGCGCAGCTTGTCCGCCTCCCGCTCCACGCCCTTGACCAGCATCACGGAGAAGTAGAGGCGCGCCCGCTCCGAGTAGATGACCTGCACATTGTAGCTCCTCTCGATCATCCGGAGGTAGCGCGCGCTATACGGCTGGGCCTGGATCTGGGCCACGGGCAGCTCGAAGGCGAGCAGGAGGGGGGTGGAGAGTCGCAGCAGGGCTCTGGCCTGCTCCACCTGGGAGAGGCTGCCCGAGACGGAGACCTGGTTCGATTGCTCTGTGAAGCTCTGCATTTCGTCCGGGAAGTGGATGTGCGTGCTGGTCAGGTCCCTGATGCGCTTGATGCCGCTGCCGCCGCATCCGATCATGAACGTGTGGTCCGTGTGGCTGATGTCCATCTTGAGGAGGACGCGCGATGCGCGATCCTCCAGTCTGCTCAGGATGCGGTGCTTGGCTCGGAGCACCTGCTCCCGCTGGCCCACGACGCGCACGTACGGATCCTTGCGGCTCTTGGCCCCGATCTTCAGCCTGCTCGGCCAGCAGACGTAGGTCCGGGTGCTGCTCATGATCTTCTCGAAGAAGTCGCGCGCTCCACTGAGGCCCTCCTTGCGCAGCAGCTGCTCCAGCCAGTGGCGGTCCACCTTGAAGGACTCGTTGTGCAGCTCCGCCACGTCTGCGCCCAGCTTCCTGGCAATGTTCTGCATGCCAATCCACTCCAAGCACTGCTCCCCTTGCTCCCCCTGTGCCCCGCCAGCCCCGTCTGCGGCATCTGGTGGCCACCTTGGTGCGTTGCCCCTTATCGATCTTCTGCTGGACATGGCGGCGCTCACTTCCGCTGACTCAGAGCTCAGTTAATGGGATGACTGAGAGCACGTGTCACTGGGGCCCTCTACGAGTTATCGCTCAGCAATTATCGGCTATCGGTTATCGGCTATCGCTGGGTTGCTCTAACTGTAAGGCAGCCATCTTGTAGGGTTGCCACATGGCAACAAATTGTATTTCCGATTTTTATACAAAAATAAATACTATTTCTATAATTATTTCCTTAGTTACTTAAATGTCAATTAAAAAAACTCCTCAGAATTGTATATTCTCTTGTACATATATATAAAGAAGCCTGTGCTATGTGCATGAGTTTTGCATGTGTGTTTGCATGCATGCATGATGCACTTCTACAATCAGCTATTCCCGATCCTCTTCTTATTCCATTTAACCATTTTTACCAAATGCATAACATATTTATAAAATACATATCCACAATAATTTCAACCTAATGCGTAAAAGAGAACTTTCTTCCATATATTCGAATTTTAACGGTTTCTTATTCGGTGTATTTTCTCATCGATTGCGAATCTATCGATTAAGCTTTCGATAAAGCGAGCATTTAACAAAATTAAATGCACGTGATATTTATTTCCCTTAAATGTTGCAACTATTTAAAATGAAACGCAGTCGATTCGCCGAGGAGCTAAATAAATAAAAGTAATATGTGGCTATTACATTTTAATAATTGAATAAGTATCCTTCAATAAGCTGCCTTTTCTCTCGATCTAAGTGCCATGCTGGTATTTTTGGTATTATTTAATATCAAATATCGATTGTTATCGCTGGCACATTTTAGACAATTTTCGTCAATAGGTGCACACTTTTTCATGCAGAGTTCAAATTTAACGACAGCCGCTCATTAATTGACTCAGGCAAATGGAGAGGCCGAGACTCTAGGGTATTCAATATGGGATATCAGGTATTCGGATTGTTACGCACCAATATGCTTATTAAGCACGCATTAAACAGATTTCCCCGGGGTGCGTGTGAGGTTTGGACCCAAGTCAAGAACAAGACAAACCCAACGGCTGTCAGTTGCAAATCATGCGGCATATTGTGTGCCAGTTGCTGCTGCTGCAGCAGTGTCATGCGGCGCTGACGACGACGACGACGACGACGACTAGCTCAAGGCTGGACACTTTGGCTCTGGCTGTGGCCCAGGTGCTGCACGAGTCGGATATGTCACGCTGCCAGACACTTTACGTCCACATGGAGTACAGCGCGCTGTCGGCGCGGCCGCAGCTGCTGGAGCTGCTGGCACGCCTGTTGCACGCGCTGCCGGCCGCAACATTGCAGCCGCGCTGCCTGTTCCAGCAACGCCCCATGGAGTACAGGCCGTACGTGCATGCTGTGCTGCTGCTGGTGGACGACATGCGTGCGCTGCGCCGCCTCTACGCCGGGCTGGGGGCCACCGGCGATCTGGCCTATACGCTCGTCTACATGCTGCAGCCGCAGCCCACGCTGGCCATGCAGTTGATGTGGAGCCGGAGCGTGCTCAATGTCGGCTTGCTGCTGCCGGACAGCCAACAGCTGCTCCTGCTGCTCAGCTACTTTCCGTACGCTGCTGCCGCGGATGGCTGTCGTCGGATACGCGCCAGTGTTGTGAATCGTTTTGTGACAGCGCTGGGTCGCTGGTCGAGCGATGTATATTTTCCCGCCAAGCTGGACAATTTCTTTGGCTGCACTTTGACCTGCGCCACGTGGCCGGACATGCCGTATCTGGTGCGGCGCGCGGATGGCGCCTTCCTGGGCATCGAGGGGGCCCTGCTCCAGTTTATGGCCGACAATTTGAACTTCAGCGTGGGCCTCTACTGGCTGAACGAGTCCCAGGTGCGCGATACCTTCAATGAGTCCGGCTGGGTTTTCGAACAGGTGCGTATAAACGAACTTTAACTTTTCTGTTAAAGTATAGGTTAATTTAAAACCAGTGTTGGTAAACCTTTTGGACCTACTCATTGTTTACTTGTGAGGTTATGTTCGCGATGCACAGCTATGAATATTGAAATATTCAAATAACTAAAAATATGCAATATTTAATTATTTAAATATTTCATATTGTTATGTTATTTAGTCCTGTTGGGTATTCTAACCTGTATAAAGGACCTTTAACTTCTTGTTACATTATAGGTTAATTTAAAACCAGTGTTGGTAAACGTTTTGGGAATACTCATTGTTTACTTATGAGGTTATGTTTGCGATGCACAGCTATGAATATAGCCATTGAAATATTCAAATAACTGTATTTTTTTATTATTTTATATTTTTCGTATTTTAATTAGTCCTGTTGGGTATTCTAACCTGTATACCTTTAACTTCTTGTTGAATAATAGGTTGATTTAAAAACCAGTGTTGGCAAACGTTTTGGGAGTACTCATTAAAAACAAAAGTTTGATTATTTTTGAGGTTTTGTGGGCGATATACAGTTATAAATACACCCATTTCAATATTCAAATAACTGTCAATATATTCAATAGTTAATTTTTAGTCTTTTATTTTGATTTAAAGCCAGTGTTGCCAAACTCTTTCAATTTTTCTTTTACAGTCTGATTAATTATTTTTAAACGTCTTTCTTACGTTTTTGTTTTTACAGATCTTTAGTATGGCGGAATATGCCTTGGGCGGCTTCCACTACAAGCCCAACGAGCGGGGCGAGGTGCCCTATTCACAGTCGACGTACTACTTCATGAGCCACATCATGTTGGTCACAAATCTGCCCAGCGCTTATTCGGCCTACGAGAAGTTGGCATTTCCCTTCCATCCGCTCCTCTGGCAGGCCATTTGCCTGGTGTTAGCGCTGGGCTGCCTCGCGCTCTGGCTGCTGCAGCGATGCTGGAAACAGTTGCCACAGGTAAATATCAGCTGGACACAGCTGGCGATCGGACAGAAAGTTAGGTTTTGTAGCAAAACCTCCTTCTGTGGCCAAGCATCAATATATATTGCAATTCAGCTAGGGTATTTTGAACTTTGGCAACATAAATAACACCGTTTTTTCTTGATTCCCATGAAATTATACGAAATACTTAATAGAATTTGAGGTTAAGTTGCAAATTTAGAGGGGTTAACATAAGAATTGAGGTTAGGTTACGGATTTGTAAGGTTAAGTTCAATTAAACTCAATGAAATTTACTCTTCAATTATTAAATAATATAATGATTGAGGTTAAGTTGCAAATTTAGAGAGTTTCATGTTAGAATTGAAGTTAGGTTAAAGATTTGTGAGGTTATGTTGAATTAAACTCTGAAATATTTGATATAATCATTTAATAATATGAGGAATGAGGTTAAGTTGGAAATTCTTGAGGTTAGGTTAAGGATTTGTAAGGCTAAGTTGAATTAAACTTTATGAAAGGTACTCAATAATTATTTAATAATATAATTTAGAAGTTTGGTGTCAGAATGAAGGTTAAGTTAAAGATTTGTGAGGTTAGGTTTAAGATTTGTGAGGTTAAATTGAATTAAACTATGAAACGTCTGGTTTAATTATTAAATAATATAATTATTGAGGTTAAGTTTGCAAATATAACGAGCTTAACATAAGAATTAAGGTTAGGTCACAAATTTGTAAGGTTACGTTGAATCAAACTCAGAAATATTCGATTTAATCATTTAATAATATGAGGAATGAGGTTAAGTTGGAAATTCTTGAGGTTAGGTTAAGGATTTGTGAGGTTAAGTTGAATTAGACTCTCTGAAATGTACGCTATGATTATTTAAGAAGTATATTTAAGGATTTTGAATAACATATGTTTTGTTTTACCGGCATATCTGTCCAATTTAGCATCCGTATTACCAGCTGCTGGTGCTGACCATGGGCGGAAATCTGTTGCCCCGAGAGCTGCCGCAGCGCAACTCATGCCGCTTGCTGTTGATCACCTGGCTGCTGTGCGCCTGGTTGCTGCGCAGCGCCTACCAGTCGGGCATGTACCAGCTGCTGCGCCAGGACACGCAACGCAATCCGCCCCAGACAATTGCCGAGGTGCTGGCCCAGCGCTATACGATCCAGCTGGTGGCGGGCACTGCGGAACTCTGGCTGGAAAGCTTGCCGGAGCTGCGCGCCCAGCCGCTGCGCCAGCTGGAGGCCAGCGAGCTGCAATCGTTCGCCGGCTTGGCGGCACGGAGCGGCAGCGATGAGCGCGTCGCCATCATTACGCCCTACGAGTACTTTGGCTACTTTCGCAAGGTGCATCCGATGAGTCGCCGTCTGCATTTGGTGCGGGAGCGCATCTTCACCCAGCAGCTGGCCTTCAATGTGCGCCGTCACTCGCATCTTGTCCGCGTGCTCAACAGGCAAATAATGCGGGCGCATTCACATGGCTTTCTGGAGCACTGGACGCGTCAATATGTCAGCGCCGTCGATGAATCGGATGAGAGCATAGCCCCGATTGCCGCAATACCCTACGAAACTGTCAACGGGCATCGGCCGGAGGGCGAACTGGGCTTGAGGATGCAGGATGACGACCCAGTGTCTGGCAAATTGCTGGTGCTCTCCTTCAAGGAGCTGGCCGCCCTCTTCTGGCTAACCCTGTGGGCTCTGCTGTGCTCCGTTCTTGTCTTTGGCCTCGAACTGTTGCTGCATAAATAATGCCAACATTTATTTTGTGCTAAAGCGTTTTAATTAAATTACTTCATAATCCCGCAGCAGCCAGAAAACAAAGCACTTGCCACACACACACACCCTCACACACACACACACACCCTCACACACACACACACACCCTCACACACACACACACACCCTCACACACACACACACACACACACAGCTCGGCTGGAGAGCTGCTCCCGCTGATAGTTGCCAGCGTTTGCCGCTCGTATCGTAAAAACGCAAAACGTTTTATCTAAAAGCGATAAATTTGCAAAACCAAAAAAAAAAAAAATAACCACCAAATCTTCCCTCAGCAGAAAACCCACAAAAAGCACACACAACCCACCACATGGACATCAATTTTCTGTGTGTGTGCAAGTGTGTGTTGGTGTGGGGCTGTGTGTGTGTGTGTGTGTGTGTGACAATCGTTTGCCGGCAAAACGCTGCTTAATGCCGTTGGCTAGTCACATTCTCTGATACCCTTACCGAAGCTTAACTTTTAGCTGAGCTGAGGACGAGGCAACAGAATTTCTCTTACAGATGAAACTATTTGTTCTGACTGACTGATTGACTGACTGAACGAATGATTGACTGACTAGTTAAATGACTGATTGATTGATTGGCTGACTAAAAGATTTGTTAGATTGAATAACTGGCTTACTGACTGATTAATTGGCTAATTGATTGAGAGATTGGCTAACAGAATGATTGATTGACTGCTTGATTAGCCAACTGAGTGACTAACTGATTGACTGTTTTACTGGTTTAATATCTGATTGATTCGTGACAAAAGGACTGGCTGACTGCTTAATTAATTGAGAGATTGGCTAACAGAATGATTGATTGCTTGATTTGCCGACTGACTGATTGATTTACTGACTGAATGATTGATTGACTAATTGATTGACTGGCTGAAGAAGAAATTAATTGGCTGACTAATTTGCAAACAGACTGAATGATTGACTGGCTGACTAAGGGATTGATTGACTCACTAATTTGCAAACTGACAAATCGATTGACTGACTAATTGGATAACTGACTGATTGAGAATTTTTGATTGACTGACTGCGGGATTGGCTGACTGACTATACTGATTGACTGACTGCGGGATTGGCTGACTAAGTGATTGACTGACTGACTGACTAATTGGATAACTGACTGACTGATTGATTGGCCAACTGATTGATTAATTGATTTATTCGTTAAATGAATGTTTGACTGACTGACTGATAGATTGATTGACTGTCTGACTGACGGATTGTCTGGCTAAGTGAATGATTGACTTAAAGATTGATTGATGAACAACGCCCAGCCCAAACCGTAAGTGCTAGTAAGCTAAATTTTCTACTGTAGTTTCCTTCGGCATATTGCATAGCACTGGGAAAGGACTCGAGAGGCGCCCAACTCGACTTGGTACCACGAAAACCCAATTGTCCCTCCCAAGGCGCCTTTGAGTGGAGCTGCTGCGGCTGCTGCTGCTGCTTTGCTTATCGCCTCGCACATTTGCGCTTTTCCGAAATTTTTTGCCACACTGCGCCACAAAACTGTTGTAATGGGCATGACGTTGCCCCAGCATTCAGCATATCCAGTCGCAGCGCCAAGTAGTCAACGACATCGTCATCGTAGCTGGAAATTCAAGTAAATGTATTGAACTTAAGCTCATTGCCTTTGCCTGCATTGTCCTCCCCTCCCAGCCACGTCTCCATCTCCTATCAGCATCCTTTTGCCACAGAGAAGCTGTGCTGCGCTGGGCTGGGCTGGGCTGGGCTAACCTATCAGGCTTCATGGCGCGCTTCCTCTCTTAAATACGCTACGCTGTTCGGTAGAAAAAACTTTATGCAATTCTTTTTATAAAATGTTTCCTACTTTTGTATTTTTTTTTTTTTCATGTACGCCTGGCCTGCATCATTCATAGCATGTCAACGAGCTGGGATAATAGACGAGTGAAAGTCGAATAGCAGCGAGTGGAAGATTAGCGAGTAAAATAAGCCAAGCAACTGCGATTCAGCGAGAGTGAGACGCCAGCGAGTCGAGCGCGGAAATCAAAAGCTTATTTTATAGAGGTAATTGGGTAGCGAGTGCATATCCTTGTCGAAGAGCAGAGAGTTGAAGACTAGCGAGTAAAATAAGTCAGTGAGATTGAGACGCCAGCGAGTGGAGCGCGGAAAGCAAAAGCTACTTTTATGGGGGTAACGAGAGCCGGAAAAGTAACGAGTGTGTATTTAAAAGCAACGAATGCCTAACAATAATTGGCTAAGAAGTAGCGAGTGTAAACTATGTGTGACACTCGCTAATTGAAAAGCAGCGAATGCGTAACGAGAGCAGGGCTAGTAGCGAGTGTCAACTATATACGTATACTCGTTGCTATCTCTGCTCTCGTTACACATTCGCTGCTCTTTCAATTTCTAGTCACTGCTTTTAAACACCCAAACAACAAACGAGTCAAATATGCTAAAAGTGCAGCGAGTACAGTCTGCAAAGCAGCGAGCAAATCGATGGGTTAGCGACGAGTACACAAACAGCGAGTAATCTATTCTCAGCGAGTGAATGATATACAGAGTGGAGGGCACGCCCAGTGCTGCTTGAAGCTCGCTGCTTAACTTTTATGGCCACGACTAGCTTGACGGAGCCAGCGACAGAGCCTTGCGTCAACTCGTCCGGACTACTCCCGGCGATTGGCGGGGGCCGTGGCAATACTTTGGCTCGTTTGCCAATGAATTTTTATGGCGTCAGCTGAAGTCGACGCCGAAGCGCGGGCAGCGATTGCCGAAACGACGAGACAAGGCAACAAAAAACAAATATATTCATGACGCAGATTATGTGCGAGTGCACTTAAAAATTAGAGCATGGCGGAGGAGGAGGAGGAGGAGGAGGAGGAGCAGCAGCAGTCAACAGTTTTATCAGCTGCGCCGCACAAACTGGCAATTTCCGGCCGCGAAATTGCAGCTAATTAGCTAATCAACACAATTATGGCACATGAACATGGCCAGAACAGGATCAAGCAGCAGTTTGTCAGCCAAATGCAGCGGAAGTTAACCAGACGCACAGCCAAGCTCACGGCTCGGCCCGGCTCCCTCAAGTCCATGCGATGTCCGCCAACCGACCGCAACGCACACATCCGCACACATTTTGGGGCCATGTTACAAATGTGTGCAGCTGCATCCACATGGCCACCAGCTGGAGCGGACCACGTGGCCAGCCACTTGAAGCCACTTGAAGCCACTTCCAGTTAATGCAGATAGTTTTTATGGCATGGAATTTATCAGCAGAACGTAATGTCTTCTGGTCCATATACCATATTGGCTGCAAGTAATCGAAATATGACTTAAGATGTCTTGAATTAAATGTACAAGAGGCTGCTCCAGTTGGACTGGCGTGATACCCTGCAAAGTCTATGAGAAGTCTGTTCTACGGCACCCAAAGGTGTGTGCATACCAAAGTCCAAGACTTTACCTTTAAAAAGGAAATATTTAGGTAGGCATCTAAAATGGGAAATAATCTTCATCTGTGTGCGCTGAACCAGAAGCTACATGCCAAATTTGGTAACGCTAGCTCGTAAGACCTGGAAGATATGCCAAAAAAAACGGACGGTTGATATCGATTTTTATCGATTTCCAGCTCCAGCTCTTACAGTCTCCGAGAACGACCCGTCCATAAGGACTTTGCTGGATGGACTAGGCTAATGTGTTCGGAGAAGCCTCCTTAGCTTTTAAGACCTGGAAGATAGACGGCTGTTATCGATTTAAGTCGATTTCAAGCTAACAAGGCAAGTTATCGACAATTTAATCTAAAATATCGGAACTGTAACTCTTACAGTCTCCGAGGACTTTGCTGGATGGGCCAGGCTAGTGTGTTCGGAGAAGCCTCCTTGGCTCTTAACACCTGGAAGATATGCCACAAGAAAAACAGACGGTTGTTATCGATTTTTATCGATTTCAAGCTGCAACTCTTGCAGTTTCCGAGATCGACCCACTCATATGGACATGACTGGATGGACCAGGCTAATGGGCGAGGAGAAGCCTCCTTCGCCCGTAACACCAGGAAGAAATGCCACAAAAAACACACAGTTATCGATTTTTATCGATTTCAAGCTAACAAGGCAAGTTATCGGCGGTTGAATATAAAATATCGAAACTCTAGCTCTTACAGTCTTCGAGAACAACCCAATCATAAGGGCTTTGCTGGTTGGACTCGGATGATGGGCGAGCAGAAGCCTGAGAAACCAGACGTTTGATATCGATATTTATCGATTTCAAGCTAACAAGGCAAGTTATTGGCGATGGGATATAAAATTGATCTCTTCGCGACAGGAATTACGTACAAATTTTCAGGACTCCAGCTCTTAGAGTCTTCGAGAAGAAACCCAACAACTTCCGAGAGAAATTTATGCATTTATTCTACGTATTTCAATTGAATTCGATCGATCGATGAATCCCTTATAATTAGTTCTTGTACTCCCAGGCGCGATAATCCAATGGGCAGACCTCGCGCCTGCGCAGCCAGCGGGAAATGCAATGGAAATGATAAACGTGCTGGCAGATGCCGCTCGCCTCGGGGCACTCCTCCTCGGACATGTTCGACTGGCACTCGATGCATGGATCCTTAATCAGATTGCGGCAAATGGCGCAAGTATCAATCTGTACATCTGAATATCATTTATATAAAATATGATACAAATTGGGGAATTGCGGCTTGGACTTACCCCAGGACCAGAGCGCATTCGCATTCCACTGTTTGCGGAAACGTCGAAAAAAAAGAAGATAATTAATTGATTTTTCTGTTTTTCTCTTTTCTTTGATGGCTCTCACATTCATAATCTCGAAACGCTTGCGTTCCTCCTGGTTCGGGTCTTTCTTCTTGTTCTCAATCTCTTTCATTTTTCGAGCAGAATTCAGAAATTCAAGTAAACGTCTAAATTTTTCTTGTGACTTGTGATTCGATACGACGGAAAGGCAATACTACAGCAAACAGCAGAGTTGCTTTGAAAAAAAAAAACAAAACAGTGTTAAAAGCTGTCAGCTTGTGAGTGCTGTAAAATGGCACAAGAAGCACGCATAACCTCCAAATACAAACAGACTTCAATAACCGATGTAAAGTTTACGATGTGATCGCTGCAAATGGCAATATCTGCTCGATTTTAAAATCAAATATAGTTAGATAGCGTCCCACTGTGAATGGTAATAAAATAAAATAAATATTAATAAGTTATTTGTCAACCAGCTGCTGCATTTACCTTCAAGACCTCGAACCGCTTCTTGCCTTTCTTATCGCCCTCCATTTTAATATCGATTGTGTATTTTAAAGCGGCATTTCTTTACTAATGTCTTCCAGTTTCGTCGAGCACGCCGTTATGTTTGGCAAAATGGCGCCAAAAGCAGTTAGGTAACTAGGCCTGAACTAGTTCAAGTGCATTGTTCAATTGGCTAGTTCAACTATCGATAAACGTGAAGCTAGATCCATTTGAGAAAAAACTGTACTCTGATCGTTGAAGAAATACAAATTTTTGAATTAATATGAATACACAAAATTATGTGGAGGAATCATATTAGTTAATAAATTATCTTAAACGATAAAATGTAACTATTTTGTAGGTATAACCGCTAACGGTACATTCGCTCCACATGGTTCACGTGAGCTTTTGTTCATCAGTGAAATGTTCACTTTTGCAATTAGCCAACACTAAGTAGCGGCTGGTTCATTGAACTTATGTCGTGATCTCCAGCTGAGCGTACTGGTAATTCATTAGTTCATTGCGAAAGGTAGAGAAGAGAAAACAAAATGGCAGCTGGCTGACATTGAGCAACGTTTATAAGGGTTCTACATCATTATCATCATCAACATTGGCAACTACATTATTATCATGCTTAATATCCTGTGTCAACTGTTGTCCATTCCATTTGCATTTTTGCAATTATTTCAATTAAATTGACAAAAGAAACGTCTGGCCGAGGCCCCAAGGCACGACGGCAGCAGCTCAGCCGTCGTCTATGGGATGGTAAAGGGGGGGGGGGGGGGGGCTGCGTTTGGCGAATATAATTTCCTCGTGCCGGATGTGACAATGAATACGCATTAATAAGTACACGCTCACCTACGCATGTGTGTGTGTATGCATGTTTACAATTTTTGCGCTCACCGAGCGGCCGGTCATTTCGTTGCTTTGTGTGTGTGTGTGTGCCTTCCGGTGTGTAAATTGATACGCCCGTTCATTTATCCAACCGTTCACTGACCCCCCCCCATCCAACTCTCTGCCTCTCTCGCTGCCACTCAGCCACTCTCGCAGTCAGTGTGCACCCACTTACCGACAGACGTAACCGCACAGCGAGCGCATGAATGAATGGCTGGCTAATTTTGTAGAGAGGCGGACGCGCACGGCACGCGCTTTTAACAATATTAATATGCACAATAATATAAATGCAGTGACGGCAGCGGGACAAATGAAGGATAAGCCGCAGCGAAGGGGTCTCTCCTCTGCGTCTCGCACAGCAAGACAAAGGCGCAAAATGAAAGAAGCAAGCAAATAAATTTCATTGTAGGCGGCGCCACGCACAACGCACAACACACCGCTCGCGCGTGACATGGCAGCACTGTCGCCGGCGCTGCCAGCAGGCAGTCGGCCTGCTTGGCGGCAATTCCAATTGGATTTGACAGCGAGAGCAGGTCCTTTTCGAGCGAGTCTCTTATTCGCATGTCCTTCTGTCTTATTGTTGTGCTTCAGCGCAACAGTGTTGCCAGAATTATAAGCCAGTTCCAATTAAAAGCTAGAAAAACGCTAAAGTTATAGAAATGTTGGAAAAAATGAGGACTAACAATATATTAATAAAATTTTAATATAAACGGTATTTAATTTGGCAAAAGTCACGTTCTAACTCAGCTCTTGACCAAGGTAAAGGGGCTGTTTTAAAGCGAATAGCGCCAAGGAGCAAAAAAGGTTGCTCAACGAACGTCAAAAGTGGTGACAAAAGAACGTAAATGAGAATGCCTCAAGAACCATTAGTTATCAAGTCGATAACTTTAAAATGAATATATATTCTTAATGTCCGATATCTTATTAATAGCATAAAGCCTGTTATAAAAGCCAGTGTCAGCTACAAAATACCCAAAGTGGCAACACTGTCGCGTATTTGTCAAGCACAACCTCGTACATATGCGTAATATGATTATTTACATGCTGCCAGTGTTGCCATGTATATTTTTTTGTAATCTATTTCTTTTTTTGCCCCGCTGTGCGCGTGCTGTAAAGATGAAATTATATGATTTGAATAATAATTGAATTAGAAAATCATAGTCAAAGCCATGCGCCACTCAGTTGTTGGCTTGCGGCGCAAACAAATAGCCGCCGTCAGCAACGTATGCCCCCCCCTCAACCGCCATCAAATTATTGTCACATACGCAAATTTACATGCATGCACATACATTGCTGCCGTTGCTGCATTTATGCAGCTCAAGTCGTCGCTATGCGTCAACATGCTATGCATTTTGAGGGCAACGATTTTCATTTACAGCCGGCGGCGTAAATTAGGGCTTTTTGTGAATTAACTTGCTGGCAGCACATGTGCACACACTGGCAGCGCTGCCAGCTTATTGGGCGATCAACAGCTGATCGCAACGCGCTTAAAAACGAACGGTTTCTAAAAGAGAGTTGTGCAATTTGTGTTTTATTTTCTGTGCGCGACAAATTTCGTTCGATTTAATGCGTGCAATTCATTTAAACGGCAACAATGCCAACGCGCGCGCTTGTAACATGGCAAAAGTTGCACGCTAAAGAGTGTCGTGAAGCGTGCGAGTCGAACGGTCGGTCGGGCGGTAGGTCATCGGTGGGCGGGGGCGGGGGCGGGGCGGGGCAACTTGAAGCGGCTGCCAAGTGACGGCGTCCTTATAACTTGGCTCTAATGCGCACGACATTTGTCGCCTTCAAATGGTTAACAAGTTTCTGCAAATAGCGGCAGACAGACATCATTTACTGCACACAAACACACATACGCATGTGTCTGTATGCAAGTGTGTGTGTGCCTTGTAATCATGTGAATCCGTTTAAACTGTCGAAGTGTATTGTGCGTCATTATTCTCTTTCGTGCCATTAGACTTGAATAGTTTTTTCAATATAGAAAAAAAAAGACGAATGCAAATCGCAGCGACGGCGGCGCTGCTTATCAATGCATATGTGTGTGTGTGCGTGTGCGTGTGTGTGCACGCCTTTGCCAGGCGGCGTATGCAGCTCATCAGCAGACAAAATGGCGACTGTTCAAGATATCTATTGCTTGGCCATTAAATACCAAAAATACCGAAAAAAGTAAAAAAAAAAACCGGCATTAAAGTGTCATCAGCTGCATTTTGATTTGCACCAATTTTGCTTAGTTCGCAGCGTACTTAGCGCGTTCCAGTTAGAGCCCTTGGAATGCAACGTTGTCACTTGACTGCGTTTCCACTTAAGTGCGCGTCTTCTTTTTGTCTCTTTATCCACTTTTCGGGCGCTGCGGAATTTTGAGCATCAATCTTCTTCTTTCTTTTTTTTTTGGTAGCAACACATTTTGGACTCTTAAAGTTGCCTTTTCGTTTATAATTGCGGACAATTGCCCATTTTTGTTGTTGTTGTTTTTGCAGCGTTCAATTGCAACAAAGCGCTTAAATAAATCATTTTAAAAATTTTATTGAGCCCCCCGCGTGACGTGCACCACGAAAATTGCATTTTAAATGCAAATAAAATTCTGTGTGCGTGTGCCTTATTACAAAGATCGATGGCAAAACGAGTCAGCAAAAGTGCTTGACGAAAAGATACCCTGTAATTGAATACAGTGAAAGCTAACTGGCATAAGTACGCACAGTTCCAGGCTCTGTAAAGGCACAGGTAAATATTAAATATCAATTTACTTTACTTTACTTTACTTTACTTTATTTCCGACACTTTACACATTTTATCAAAAGTTGCTAAGGCACAAAAACCAGTGTTGAGAAAGTCTACATTTTGGTGCAAAAAATGATTATTTGTTTATTCTTAAGCCCGCTTCCGAAACTGGAAGATTTATGTATGACAAAAACTTAATGAAAATCAAGCTACAATTAGTCAACAGATTCGACATCCCAAATTTTTCAACTGCAACTTCAAGAGTTCCCGAGTTACGTGAGGTTGCATCTTCGTTGAAAGCTCCATTTCTTTATATCTGCCATATACTTATTATCGCAGTCAGCCCCTTTTGGCTGATGCTCGGGCAACAGGGTATGGAAGGCCACACAATTGGAATGTAAATTGTTGCGCTTTTGATAATAAGGCATGAGCCGAAATAGCAAAAATGAACGAAAAAATAAATATAAAATAAAACAATTAAAACCCATTTAAAATTTCAAGCGCACATTTCTATGCACTGGCCATTTGTTTATTTATAATTCTCTATAACGCGTTTAATACCTTTAATTTATATTTACCAAAAGATTAAATTTAATTCAATTTCGCACGTTAATTTTTTCCATTTTTGTTATTGCGATTCAATGAACCTCCCAAATCGGGTATTGCATCAGCTTAGAGCAGAGGGCAGTTAAGAGATAGTCTCAGCCTTTTTATACCCTGAACCCATTAAAAATGGGTAAACCGGGTATATTGTATTTGTACAAATGTATGTACCAGGCAGAAGGAAGCATTTCCGATCACATTAAGTATATACATAGCCGAGTCGATCTAGCCATGTCCGTCTGTCCGTCCGTCCGTCCGTCCGTCCGTCCGTCCGTATGTATGAACCCAAGGATCTCGGAACCTATACGAGCTAGAGACTTGAAATTTTAGCTGTAGGTCCTCCTAGTGCCCACGCAGATCGAGTTTGTTTCCGATATTCGATAACTTGCCCCGTTTCCAAGTAATCGATAGAAATCGATATCGAAATCCGTCACCAAAAGAAATAGAGTCACCAAACTTGACATGTAGCTTCTAGAATAGTATATATATATCAAGTTTCTTTCATTTGATACCTATCGCCTGTCGGAAGAAGAGGGTTCAGGGTATCCCCTAGTCGGGAGCTCCCGACTAGAAACTCTTTTTTCTATTTACATTTATCTAATTAATGGAAAAAGTTTTCTGACTATGTGTGCTTGTATTTCGATAAATTGAAAGATTTTCCACACCACCTCAACAGCAAATCATTCGTTGAACTATCGGCTTAGGTTCATAGTTCTTGCCATGTTGCTGGTTCGGTTCACGGTATGAACCGATGTTTTTACAGGGTAAGACTCGCACCTTGGCTTTTTACATTTCTCCCATTTTTGAAAACAAAAACTATTATCCCATATCCACACTGTATACGCTATAACACAACCCACATTCCAAGTTTGGTAGCTAGCTCTTACAATCTTCGAGTTTTTAGTATAAGACCTCTTTTCAAAATCGATATTTATCGATATTCAGAAATTGGAAGAGATATCGATATTCAGAACGTATTCTGTTTAAGGTATGGACAGCCACTTCGTAAAGGGTATAACAAGAAACTAGGCTATTAAATAGAAATTGTTCTATGCAGTCTTGTGTCGGATATATCTTTCTAGTCCCTTAGATAAAGATGCTATCGATGCTCCATAATAGTCCCCATCTGAATGATTCCACGCACCATTTCAATAGTTTGCAAGTTGGTGTCACATGACTGCAAAGCAAAACAGTTACGTTTAGGCGCAGTTTGAACCATGTTGCTGGTTCAGTTCACAGTTTGCACCTATGTTCCCCCCATGGACCGACTCGCACCTTAGATTTTTACATTTCTTCCATATATATCTATATAATCTGCATAACGATTCAATTAAAGCTGCATAAGTATACTAGACTTGTTTTCATCTTTTGAATGCCATCTAATTAACCCCATTCTCTCCCATTTCAAGGAGAATTGACTTCATAATTGGCATACTCCCATAATAGATTTGGCTTTATCCTTTGCCATCCAATTAACCCTTCTTCCCACCCAGCATTAAGAGATAAACTGTGTATGTCTAAGCTCGCATTTTTATTCTTCTTTATAATTATAGCCGCAATTCTTATTTGTAAAAGGACCAATTTAATTTTATTTTGATTCAGTTTTTGGTTAATTAGGAGTTAGGCCAGCTGTAAAATGGGAATTTATTTAGAGTAGATCCTCCGCATCGAGAGCTTAGTCTTACCTTCTTCCGTGACGATGTGATTCTCCATGTAAATATAAGCTTGATAATTTTGTATATTATGTTCTTATTACGATTCTTCCCTGAAGAAAAGGCGGATAATTTCCAAAGGAAAGAGGAGAGGGAAGATCCAAGGCTTGCGTTGAGTGTGGCGATGATTGTGGTCCCTTTCTTAGCCATTTAAAATATGAAGTCGAGCTTAGAAAATGTCATTTTGAATTTGGAATTTCTCATTTATTTTTTGGGTGTTGAATTTTACGCACAAAGACAACTTTGAATGATCAGAATATAACTGCAATAGGTCGTATTATACCGATAAGATCGAGATTATATAGCTCGTACAATACCTTGACGCACATTGAGTCTTGCAATTGAAAAGGACAACAAATACCTGCTCAGATTGGGGAGTATTACCAGATGGAGAGATCACTCGAGAGAGATCTGTCTGGACTTACCCCTTGGCTGGGCAATCAACTCCGAGAGTTTCCGATTCCCTGCGCGAATATACATTCGAAAGTTACGAATTGTGAAATAAACAATCACATCAAATCCTGCGGGAGATCGAATATATATATATGCATATATCTGAAGCGGGAACTTTGGGTTTCTCACTCACTTGGTTACGAAATACGATACTTGGTTATTAGAGATAAATAGAAACGCGTAAAACTTTTGATCTGGACTTCTGTTTAAAATTTTGCGCTGTGACGACTGGAGAAGGGGGAAGGGAAGGGAAGGGAAGGGGACAAGGGTTGGGATGAATCTTTGCTAGGTTAATGCGAATCCCTCTCTGGGTACTCACCATTATTGTGTTCACACCCATTCACACGAAGAACATACAAACCGCTTCTGAACGTAATTTTGCAACACTTCTTGAAATTTTCACATTGTTTACAGAGAAACTTTGAAACAAACTGAATTTTGACACTTTTTGATTTTATTTGTTTCTCTCAACAGAAATAAACGGAGAGAAAAGGCAGAACAAATTTAGAAAACTAGAGCTGTTGGCTCCAGTTGAGCTCCAACTGGAATGAATCTGTTTGCCTTTCGCCTGGTCTCATTCATTCTCATGTCGACTTCGAGGCCTGCTCAAGCTGTACAGCATCAAATTTCATTTACATGGCCAACAAACCAGCGAAAGTAACGAGTTTCCAAAAGTAACGAGTAGCTAAATAAATTGGCGCCAAAGCGATTAATCAGTGTGACGAGAAGACAAAACTGAAGTGTAACCTAATAGAGAGTAGATCAGTCGGGGTAACGAGTACCCAAAAAGTAACGAGTACCCGAAAGTAACGAGTACCCGAAAAGTGACGAGTACCCGAGCCCAAGAGGAGCCAATAGTAAAGAGTACCCAAAAGTAACGAGTAGCTAAATATATTGGGGTAAAAGTGACTAATCAGATTAACGAGAAGAAAAAAAACCCTTGACTTTGTCGATTGGAACTAGAAAATTGTACTTTTAATCGATTGTGGGTGTGAAATCAGTAAAAACGTTAAAAAAGATTCTGTTCGGGGAAAATTCGACAAATTTGGACTCTCACAAGCTTGACAGCAGACTAGACTTTCCACATTTGTCTGTTTTCGGAAAGATCCAAGCTTTGTATTCCCCGAGCCCATTGAAACAGGGCATAATGTGTTTTGTGCGAATTTATCCATCAGACAAAAGGAAGTAGGATGACGACTTTTATGCCATCTTTTATCTTCCATCTTCTATCTTCTCTTTTCCATCTTCTATCTCCCATCTTGTACCTTTCGTCTTACATCGTGCATCTACCATCTTTTTATACCCTGAACCCATCAAAAATGGGTAAACAGGGTATGTTGTATTTGTGCAAATGTATGTAACAGACAAAAGAAAGCATCTCCGAACCCAGAAAGTATATATATTCTTGATCAGCATCAATAGCCAAGTCGATCCAACCATGTGAGGCTGTCCGTCGATCTGTCCCTCTGTATGTATGAAGGCAAGGATCTCAGAGCCTATAACAGCTCGAGAAATTGAAATTAAACGTTGTCCTCCTTATAGCCGCACAATACTTGTTTCCAATAATCTTGGGTTTTCAGAGCTCGAGCCAAGTGTCTTTTATCTTTAGCTACCCTACGGAATTCCAAACATACATAGCTTGGCCATTTTTGCCAGGATTTAAATTGGATTAATAGGGAATCTTAACTCTGAGCATATTGGAAAGAAACAAAAGATCTCACCTTTTTATTTTTAACTGATTTCAGATAAATATCACAAAGGGGTTAACTTTTAGGTCGAAAGTCATGCCTAGAGCCAAGTAAATGCCTCTAATACATTTCCATCTTTCCATAACTTGGACAGTTCCTAACCGATTCCATACAAAGTCTATTTTAGAAGGGATACTTAATACAAGCTAAGCTATTATGGATTTTCAAATAAGTGATATCTTAAGCAAGAAATATTTGCGGGCTAAAATCAGGTCTGAAAAAGGCTCAGTATAAATTTGATGATTGGACCACAATCTTTCATAAACACTTCCAATTGATTTTATTCCAGTATTGGATAACAATAACATTTAGAATAATCCCGTATATTTCAACGAGTAGGTAAAGTAACGAGTGAACGTTTGAATAAGCAGCGAGAGGCACCAAGTCTCTTCTTTTAATTTTTTTAATTTTAATTTAATAAATTACCTGCCCAAAAAAAAAAAGTGTTTGTTGCATCTGTGATTTTATTTCGATAGACGATTAATAGAACAAAACAAATATGAGCTTCTGATAATACAGTGACGCGCAACCCTCATGATTCTGTTCAACTGGATTCCGTGCAAAAACTGTTTTTTTTAACTACGAGAAAAGAGATTCATATTAAAAGCCATCCGGATTCGAGATGCATTCGGATGCACACAGCTTACCCCCTTCTATGGCGATGCACGAGGTGATTGCGTCCAAAATATTATTATTGTTATTATTGATTTGTTAAGCGGGCTGACAGTTTTTTGGTAACCAACCGCGACAATGTTAATTGTATGAAGCTTACTTCCTGATGTGCGACAACGACGATATGGGCGAACACAAAAAAAAAAGTAAGTTTAAGTGTGGCCAAAAAAAAAACACGATTTTTTTTTTCGTATGGTTTTGGTTACTTGGTTTCTTTTTCCTAATACATATATGTCTATGTACAGAGCGAGCATAAAAGATGCATAAATAAGCTAAAAGATGAAATGAAAGATTAAGTTGTTGAATTTATTTAAATATTTACCATCGACGAAGAAATCGAAACGTCTGAGAATTGAGTATTAGTGTGCTGTGTGTGCTGTGTCTGCTGTGTGTGTAGACACTGGAGTTTGTAGTGTTGGTTAACTAGAAAATGTTAGGAATCGTAAAACTAGCATCATCTCAGGTTTTTCAACACTTACGTGTTGTATGTTCTAATTTTGTTTTTTTTTTAACTTTTTATTGTCTACTACAGATGGGAGGGTGAATTTGTGCCACAAACAGTTTATTCATATATTGCCTTTGATCGACTAATCCAGCAAACTGTAAAGGTTAGATTGAAAATTTAAGTATAATTTTTCCATATTTTATGTCATCACTTACCCCTATGGAAACACGGGTCTGTGGTACCATCGCATCAACGATATAAAGTCAGCAAAAACGCAAATACACCAAGCAGATCGCCATTTATCAGGGTTAGTTTATTGTGTGCTCTTGTGTGTAACATGTTGTAGGTTAAACTGAAAAATAAAAATAAAGAAGCAAGGTCTGCTTTAACACAGAGCTTTACCTCGAGGAGCGTTGCAAGCATAAGTCCAACCTATTGGACTAAGCTATTCCAAAGTCAAGGTATACGTTGTCAATCGAGCTCTGGTAAAATTCCATGCTTTGCTACGACTGCTTTGCCAATTAAGGCAGCTATTCCCTGAATCCCCAGGTTACCTACGAGGAGGTCAAACGTGGGTCTGTTTATTCTCCCCGATGGTTGGAAGAACGGACGAACGGACAGGATTCACACACAGACAAAAAGGGCAAAACGAACAAAACCAATATAGTTTGGCTCGACTAGGGAATACCCCGAACCTACTTCTAATAAAAGTTTAGAATTTAGAGGCGCATTTAAGAGGCACTAGACCATGGTCGAACCTTGGAAGCTTCAGCCAAATCAAAGGCCAGAAATTTGCCATACAGAGTTGTAGCTCTTAAATAGACAACAAGCAAGAGGCTCCAGTCGGAAGTTCCCGATTAGGGATCTGCATATACGATTCTGGAAGCTACATGCCAAATTCCAACAGAAATTCGATATCGATATTTATCGATTACTTGGAAACGGGGCAAGTTATCGTTTATCGGAAACAAACTCGAACTGCGCATGGACTAGGAGAACCTACAGCCGAGATCCTTGCGTTCATACATACGGACAGACAGACGGACATGGCTAGATCGACTCGGCTGTTGATGCTGATCAAGAATATATATACTTTATGTTGTCGGAGATGTTTCCTTCTGCCCGTTACATAAATTCAAACAAATACATTATACCCTTCTTGCCCACATTCACATTGGGGTCAGGGTATACGAATTGATGCCAAGGCTTGAACTAAAACCTGCGCCTACGAACCGAACCAATATACCACTTTTGCCTTATAACAAGTGAACGATTCGTTGCGCCTTCATATATCGGGCAGTGTACTTACACGTTTTTTCTTCGAGTGGATTTTCATCTAACATTTCTAAGTAGCACACTTCCTGACATTGACATTGAAACGAAATTTGGTACGAACTAAACAAAAAATTTACATCTATTTTTTAGCATCACAATTTTCAATTTGCTTTTAAAACAATTCTCAGCCGCAGAAAAGTCACAACGTTAATTTAGCCACGAAACTTATTGTTCTCACATTTTTTCTTAATTTTTATTTTTTTTATTACAAATAATTTCAATAAGTTGGAGCTCCTGACTGTAAGAGAGCTCGAACTGTAATGACAATTTTGGAGATGTGAGCCAGTGCCTAGACCCGTCACCAAAGCCTACTCCGATATTTTCACGCAATGTGCCTGCTCGGTTCTCTGAAATTCAATTGGATTTCGATTTTGTATGCATTCAGCGTTAGTTGGGTCCCATTCTCATGAATGTCGCGTGTCTACAAAATGTGGATAAATTGAGTATATATTCAAGGTTTTCTAGAATATGCGTGTTGGTTTATTATTTGTACTTTTGCAACACTCTGTAAAGTGTTAGTGTTGGAAAATGTCGAATGTATAGACATTAAGTGTTGGGAAATTTCCTCGACTTTTAAGAGCAAAAAAAGGTGCGTTGCACAGCCTGAAAGCAATTTCGAGATAAGATGGAATAATATTGTATTATTTTCTCTATAAGCCAGTGTTGGACAACTCAGCTATTTTCTGGCTAAATTTGGCTATTTTCAGCGGTTTTCAGCTGAAATAAATTGACATTTGCTTTGCCTGCAATTGCCAGCTTTTTAGCGACTTTTTCTAGTTGTTTGAAAAAATTTTTTAGTAATATATTAATATACCCTAAGCTCTTGGGGAATGGGTGAACGGGTAGAAGAGAACTATTAAGTATATATATGTATATATATCTGATCATACTTAACAGCCGAGCTGATCAAGCCATGCTCATCTATCTGTTTCTATCTCCCATTCTTATGAAGATTTGCAGAGGTTTATCCTTAGGTCTCATTGTGGGAATCCTTCCGATCGGACACAGTTGTCCGATGATACAGTTATTATAAAGCTTGTTTGTTCTTCACTTCAAGATATTTTAACCAAAGCATGAAAACCTCAGGAAGGGGCAATCCAATCCAATATCAGCATCAGACTTCTATTTCATAAAACTCTATAAAGAAAGGCTGCGATTGAAAAATAAGTTTTTGCGTGGAAAACTTGTATGCTCCCTTCTATACTAGATATATTTTTGATCAAGCCCAGCAATTACGAGCTGCACAAATACTTTCACATATTTTATATAGGGTATTTCATATTCGAGCCTCTTATTTGATGGGATCAGGATTCGGACTCGATGAACTTTTATAACTTAGCTGGAGAATATTTGCGACTGGACTGTCAAATGAAACGCGATACTTGATTTCTGTGCGTACCCTGTTGGGAATTTATTTTTCTTTTTTGTTAAACTCAAATTTAATTTCTTTGTTTTTTTTTTTTTTGGTTTTTTTTATGTCAATAAACAACTATTGCGAACAAACTGTTCGAGCAGCCTCAGAGACAGAATAATATATATATATACACACACACACAGTTTGCGGCTCAATGGGTTAAGCTCAATTTGCTTTTGCTGTTGGGGATACGGGTTGGGTCTCTTTGACGGCCTCTTGCAGTTTATTTTGCAGCTCACGATCGATGCGTTCCTTGGCCCGAAAGACTTTCGATTGTATGTAGAAGGAGCCACCGGTTGTCTTCTCGTTGGCCTGAAACAGATGCTCAAAATTGCCACGGATCTCTTCGACGTTGGACAGATCCTTAACATTGAGTATCTGTTGGGCCTCGTGCAGGGTCATGCCCTTGACAGCCAGATTTAAACACTTCGATTTGCTATTCACGTTCGATCGATGTTGGTTCGCCGCCGCCCGCGATGCCTCGATCTCCTGTCGAACGGCCTTGATAAAGGCCCGGCCCACAGACTGAGCACCGTAGACAATGATCCGTGCAAAATGTTTGGCCATTTTCTCCCGCTCACTAGCTCCCCCTTCTGTCTGGGAGTGTGCCTCGAATCGATCCAAAGAATTTTACGTATGTTTTTAAACATTAATGTACAAATGTACAGAATTTTCTATGTAAAAATATCGAAAAGTGTGTGCTCCCGATTTGTTTTCATTTGAGATGTGACAGAAATTGAAAAGAGTTTACAAGTAAACTTCAACAACAAGTATTTGTCCTAACGGACTGACCAGCTGTAGAAGCTAAAAAACTACACAATATTTGGCTTTTCGGCGCCCAACGTGTGTCTCGTAAAGCTTTTCTTTAAATTTCTAAGAATAAGTAAAATGCTACTATAAATGTTTATTTATTTTAATTATGATTTAAGACAACATACAATCATGGGTCAGAATGATCCAAACGTTTAATATCTACATTGGCGCCCAACGTGGGGCGTTCACTTAAGGATTGCCTAGGTAAACACTCACAAATTAGCTTTTCCCTTTTCGGAAAGTACTTCTTATTTACTAAAAATATAGTTTGATTGCCTATTAAATGATCCCAGAGACTCCGAAATTGTAAACCTCGAGGGGAACTATAGACAAACGTGAACTAATGTGGCGGAAGTGAACACAATATTTCTACCTTCAGTCTAAGCTTTCAGATGAACTCCGATTGTTCTGATCTGGAATATATATATATATATATATATACTTTCCGGTTTAGAAGAAGTTGCCTTCCGACTGCTACAAAAACTAACGAAACTTTCTAATACCCGTTTTCTTTGTGGGGCATGAGAACAGCTCGGTTTTGGGGACATCTTCGGGGCTGTGCGTGTGTGTAAAGCTCGTAAAGAAATTATGCGCAAATTAACTTAGTTCCGGAGAAAGCGATGCGCAAGCTAACAATGTGGTAGTCGCCCTCAGGGCACGTAGCTAGACAGAGAGGGAGAGGGACAGAGGCGGCGGCAATCAGATAAAGAGGGAGAGATGCGATATGATGCCATGTGATGTGATGTGTGCCGGGTATTAACATAATTACAATAATGACTTGTTGCCGGTCAATGTCAGAACGGGGCCGACAAAATGGAAATTGTAACTCCGGACACCGGACGCCGGACGCCAGACTCCGGAATTTGTGGCCATAATTTCGAGAGTCAAGTTGTCAGCAGTTGTGGCCATGCATTTGCATAAGCTCAATATGCACTTGGGTCTTTTTAAAGCACAACCAACCGAATCGAATCTAACCTCATATAATGTAACGTTACCCAGTCTCAGTCCTTCTGCACGCCTTTTGCCGCACGTCCACATTGGCAATTTACGCAGTGTGCCCAGCCTAGCCGCAAATGCACAACAATTACGATTGCACAGTGCCGCACAGTGGTTCGCATCCGATTGAAATCAGCAACAAAAATTAGCTTGATGAAACCCACATTATATGTGAAGATAAGTTTTTTAGCATATCAAATAATAATATGAATAATGAGAAATGGTATACAAATGTTTTTCTCCAACTTTCCACCCTTTCGGATGGCCTTTTTTCTTCCAAAACTTCTCCAAGCACTGACGTTATTTATATCGATAAAAGCAATCGATATCAGCTGTCAATAACATTGAGTATAAGCAGTCTAAATAGTTTGGAAAAAAAGCTAAAGATGTATTGGTCTCAGGTTAGAATTCAAATATATCGATAAAAGCAATCGATAACAATGGTTATAAGCTATTTAACCCGAAAGTCAGCATAAAAAGCTTAATATATATATACTTCAAGATTTTTAAGCAAATGACACCAGTCTTTGAAGGCAAACATATATCGATAACAGCTATCGATAACTGAGCGTTGGGCTTTATAAAGCTAGTTTTAATAAATTGTGGCTCACTGTGCGCCGCCTTTACAATTTGTCATACAAACTCTTACTGATCATATTTGCCAAATATTACAATTATGTATATATATCGATAACAGCAATCGATAACAGCAATATGATCAGTCAGTTATTATAATAAGAAAAAACCTTACTAATCTCTTTAATCGTTTATATCGATAACAGCAATCGATAACAGCTATTTAATCAGTTAGACAGGAGAAATGTCTGTATCCAAGTTATTATAAAGTAAATAAATAAAACTTTACTAATCTCTTTAATCGTAAATATCGATAACAGCAATTTAATCAGTTAGATAGAATAAACCTTACTAATCTCTATAATCGGATATATCGACAGCAGTAATCGATAACATTGATTGCAAGCTTTTTTGTCAGTCTGTCAGCATAAAAAGCTTGATATGCATGTTATTTTCAAACACAATAAAAGTTTAACTAAACTTTAAAGTCGTCCGTATCGATAACATAAATCGATAACTTTATGCTTGGCTCGATAAATGTATTTTCCAAATTCCTGCCCACAGTGCGCCGCCGCCTTTCCCATTTGCCGCTGAAATCCACAAACTGTAATTGATCACATTTGCGCTTGTCGTTTGATTTCATTGTCTTGTGCGTGAAACGGCACGAGACGGGGCGAGACTCTTGGGGCTTGGGTATTTGAGGTTGGGTCGCATCTGCGGGTCGAGGGTGGGGGGAGGCGGGTAGGCGGTTAGGCGGGTAGGCGCTACCAATTCCGAAAAAAGCCACAGCTGATGGTTGTTATTGTTGCTGGCGCGCAAGCTCATTCATTATGCAAACACCTCCACCTGACCGTGGCCCATGATGCGCCTCCAGCTCATCAACTCGCTCACCTCCCCTCCCTCCCTCCCTCCCCTCTCTCTCGCTCGCTCTCTCGAACTGCATTTTGCGATTAGTTGCCATTTAAACTGCTGTTAACCCTCGTCCACCCTTGTTGCACCCTTCTCTCGCACTTGTCTACGGTCGAACTCCTGCTCTGATCTGTCGCTGTTGGCCGCCAAAGCATTTTGATTTCCGCACTGCATCCGGCTATTTTAATCCCTGGACATCAGCTGCCTCCCCAAAAAACTGAGCAGCTAAATGTTTCAAGTTGCGCGTGCTCGAATAGCAGATACCCTGTCGCCAGCAACGAGTTGCTTTTTTCAATTTATGTTGGACCCCCTTATCCGAATGTTTTGAAATTTCCGGGGAATACATAAAGCTTTCAAAAATTTACGTATACCCAGCCGTAATCCCCTCCGAGATCGACTGAAAAGACAATCGACTTGACTTGGCTAACAGGTTCGGCATTATACCCACTTGCAATGGCTACAGGGTATACAAACCAAACGTTAAAATGCAAATGCAACAAGAATTGAATATCAATCACAACAAACCGACAACTCGCATATCCTACAGACGCTTTTCTA